TACTATTGACAGTTTTCATATTGCTGTCTTCTCTCTATCCTGTTTTGTTTTGTTTTGTTTTTTTTTTTTTGTGCAAAGCATCCCAATGCCTTCTAAGCATGTTCGTTTTTTTAAAAAAATAACAGTTATTACAACACATTAGGCACTGTGCCAAGCACCTTTCTTACATTATCTCATTTAATTTTTCACAAACTTTATGAGATGGGTTTTACTTATGCTCATACTTTACATATGAGGAAACTGAGGCCAAGGAAGATGATACAACTTAACCAAGTCTACCTGACTGCAGATCCAAGGCCACCAGGAAGCTCTCCCACCTGTTGTCAAAGTCAAACAATATGACTTACATCTTTCGCAATTTGTTAACCTCACAGACAAACAACAAACAAAAACCTGCTAAATCCCTTTGCTTGCTGTTGAATACATGCCCCACATGTTCCTTGAGAAATGAGGCCTAGAAGCTCAGTGGCTAAAGATGTTAAAGGGAAGATGTTAATATCTTAGTCCCCAAGGCCCTGTCAAGCTAAAGAGAAAATATGGAACATAAAGCTGAAGAGAAAATATGTCCCTCTACATACACATTTGTGTATGTTTTTAATGGTTTTATTTCTAGAGTATTTAGATCTTTTGAAAATACTGAGTATTTGAAAGGTAGCTTTACTAAAATGAATTATTCAAAGTTCAGATGATTTTATTTACCAAAAAAATTAATCATAAATTTATTTCATCTTAAGTCAAACAAAAAAAAAATATTTAAGCTCTTCATTGGTCAAGAGGAAACTGTCAAACATGACTATTCTCTCAATTAAACATGAGATCAGCAAAGATGTAGAGTTTGGAAATACTATTGCTGGCATATGCTTTCATAAAAAATCATGGACACAGTTGGGCGTGGTGGCACATGCCTCTAATCCCAGTGGTTTGGGAAGATGAGGCAGGAGGATTGTGAGTTCAAAGCCAGTCTCAGCAATGTTGAGGTACTAAGCAACTCAGTGAGACCCTGTCTCTAAACAAAACACAAAAATAAGGCTGGGGATGTGGCTTAGTGGTTGAGCACCCCTAAATTCAATCCCCAGTACCTCCTGCAAAAAAATCACTGTTCTTTTTTCCTTAGTCTCCAACATGGCTTGGCATGGCACTGGTCTTTATTTCAACTTTGGAAATTCTATTCAGTATGGACTTTTGTTTGCATTGATTTTTCCCCCTAAGATTGCATTCAAATAATGTTTATTTCAGTTACTGAGCTCTTATCTCTCAGTTAAATATTTGCCCCCAAATAAGTCCTTCACTCACCTCATCCTGCCACGCCATGCACTTTCTTCCTATCCCAGCTTCACACCAAGTCCACATCCACCTTCCCTCTTTCCATCTCCATCTTCTACATCTACAGAGCCAACAAACTGGTGGTTTGAGGGCTAATGACTGCTGATATGCTGTGGTTGTCACTGAGTTAATTTCATTTTTAATTTAAATTTTTAATTTTAGTTTAATTTTTATTTTTAATGATATCACACATGACACGGTCATTTTAGAGAGAATGTGCTTTAACTTGTGACATCTTTCAAGTCAAAGTACATTGGACAGATCAATCCTGCCTTTGGGGAATATGCTTTCTCCATTCTGTCCTGGTTCCCAGCATTCTCTGTGTTACCTAGTATCTGGCTTGATTTGCATAGTCCAGATGGCTTCCTGCTCCATGGCAGGCACTTGAGTTTTCAGTGCTTACCTCCAGTTTACTGTGCTTTTTCCACTTCTGACATCCACCTTCCTCTGAGTTCTCTTGCTCTTCATTACTCAGGGAGCTCCAGACTTGATTTAGTCATCTTTCTCATCCACAGGTTCTCCTTAGCATTCTGGATTGAATTCAGTTGGACCAACAGGCTCAATGCTATTTTTAATAATCAGGTGAAATAGGGATGCCAAGCTTTGGGAAGTTTCCCTTTCTTTGTAAAGACCAGGCAGCAGCTAGCTGGTGTTTCTAGCTCCTCCCTCAATAATTTTAGCAAAAACTAAAAGCATCTCAAATTCATAAAAAGTTAGTGACCCTTGACCCATAATCAGACAGCTTAGCTTTACATAATCTTGCAAAGGAGACATAAAACAGGGTGATTTTATGCAGTCATCTCTGCCACTACATGCAAATAAAGTTGCTACTGCAGTGTAGTCCAGAGCAAGATAATACTTCTTCCTCTCTCCTTTTTTTTCACATTCATTTGCTTCTTTTCTCACATTTTCTGCGGAAATGTATATGAGATGGTTCCCTCTGCTCTTCTTTCCAGGGGTATTTCATTAGTGTGGAGATTAAGGTCATGTAAAAGGATTCCAAGGTATTTCAAAACTTTACTTAAAAAATGAATAGTTAGCCTGGCACAGTGGCACATGCCCATAATCCCAGCAGCTTGGGAGGCTGAGGCAGAAGGATGGCAAGTTCAAAGCTAGCCTCAGCAAAAGTGAGGCACTAAACAACTCAGTGAGACCCTGTCTTTAAATAAAAAATATAAAATAGGGCTGAGGATGTGGCTCAATGGTTGGGTGCCCTTGAGTTCAATCCCCAGTACCCCCCCCCCAAAAAAATAGTTGGGTGACCAACTACTGAATTTTACAGTTCTAGCTATAGAAATAAATGTAATATGATTCATCAAGAAGCAAGTATTTCACATTACCTTCACGTTACGCATACACACATACATCCTACACATATACACATGCCCCACATACATACCTTAAGAGACTCAAAATTGTGACCATGTCAGGAGGCAGTGAGAAAAATTCAAAAGATGAAACAGTTCTCTTTGGAAAAATGAATGAATGGATAAAGACCATTCCCAGATGCAATGCCATACAAACAATCTGATGACCCAGATGATTATGGGAAGAATATGCCTTAGTTTTTGACATATTTCACATCAAAGGACATGGAGAGTCAATCTCATGAGAGTTGAAGTCATTAAATTTTTCTAATTTTTAAGGGGACAAAAAACTCATTTGAGCAGATGACTCACCTCCTTTTTTATTGTTTAAAATATTTAACAGAATTTTCAATTACTATACACAAATTTAAAGATCCATGGAATATTTTCATGATTATATGGAAACCAGTTTAGTGAAAGTACATTATGGTAAGAAATTCCACTAACTCTGCCCAAAGAGTGCTTCATATTGAATTTCATTCAGACTTGAATCAAAATTTGATGTATTAAATTATAATTATTATAGTTTCATAAAATTGTAGCTCTGTCCCAATAAAATCTACAATTATTATAAATGTTTTCTAATACAATGGATACACTCCCATTAAAACCTTTTGAGTCTAGGTAACTCAGACTTAAAATCAATCAGTTAGTTCTAGAGATTTTAAAAATCATAAACAGTAAGAAAAAAAATATTTAAAATGACTATGTTTAAACAACAATAATAACAAAGCTTATTAAATAAAAATAGAATATGGAAATCTGTCTTTTTATGCAGGGTTGGAATTTCTTAACTTCGCTGGATTAAGGATGTGCTTTAAAGAGTGCATGAGCCCCTGAGGATAGGGCTGAGGATGTGGCTCAATGGTTGAGTGTCCCTGAGTTCAATCCCCACTACCCCCCAAAAAAGAAATAGTTGGGTGGCCAACTATTGAATTTTACAGTTCTAGCTATAGAAACAAATGTAATATGATTCGTCAAGAAGCAAGTATTTCTGTTTATACAGAACCTTATGTATGCATGAATTTTTACAATTTTCCTAAGAGAAGAATCAAGAGCTTTCTAAGGGATCTATGACCCATAGAGAAATTTTTATATGGTGCATTTTAAGTATTCAATTAAAAGTCTGAGGCAAAAAAAATTAATTATGACTTTTATGAGGCCCTCAACCTATATGACATCAGCTGCTATGAAAATTACGGCTGGCCTAGGACACCAAATGGTACCACTTAAATCTTTACTAGGCAATATTGCTAAGTTTATACAATTCTTTTTAATCCACGTCCCTCCTTGATGATAATATCCCATAATGCTTTTAGCCATCTTACACCTGGCAGTGTCTCAAATACCCCAAGATCCTGTATTCTGCAAGGAGGGGCGACTAAAAGGGAAAAGTTGCTTTGAAGTTTCATTCATTCACGGAGTTTTATGATTATCATTATATTTAATACGTGTGGTCAGACACCATCAAAATTATGAGATGAATGCAAAAATGTTTAATGGACCATCTTCTCCCTTCCTGCTGCAGATAATCCCTCCAACATATATGCATATTATAAATAGCTTTAATGATCTTAAACCTTTTATTTCTCCTTCCATTTCTTTCTCCTTTTCCTGAGATTTAACATTAGCTCTAACCAAGGACGGTGCCTTCTAACCATTCCCACTGGCTGGTTTTTCTTTTCACTTCACTTTCACACATAAGAACTTCTATTTGCACTGCTATTTTAAAGTTCAGTTGTTTTTTCATGTTTCAGTGAAATCAACAGACTCAACGAGTGGAAAGGAAACAAATCCCCTTTCCACTTAGTTGTTTTTAGTTTGATCAGTATTTAAATCCATCAGTCAGAAAAAAAAAATGAGGCAAACTGATTTATAGTTTGGGGACATTATGGCCATGGGGAGGCCACAGGAAGAACTATGCTACAAGGCTTCTCTTGTGAAGGTCAAACTAATACTGCCCAGCCATGGACAATCTGATATCATTTTTCTGTCACCAGACAAAAAGCTCAAACTTTTGAGGGAGAAATCCCTTATGTCAACACTCACAGCCCCTACTACCCAAACTTAATTTGCAGTGCCGTGTGAAAACTAGACTTGTTTCCAAAAAACACTGCCTGGCTTCGTTTTCTTCATGTTTCCATGTTTTCTCTGTACTGTGTGGTTGACACCTAATCCATCCGAGTGTATTTTCTTAAAGTGCTTGCAAATAAAACCAATGCTTTGCCTTCTCTGCCCCATTGCCAAACAGAGATGTTTTTGTTCATTGGATAATTCATATCTGTTCTTATTATTTTTCCTCAAACTCAGCGTGGAAATCAGCACTTAGCTGCCAGTGTGTTGGAGGTAAATGCTTCACAGACACACAGACAAACCACATCAGAAGCTGCTTCTTCGTGCCCTTTTCCTGCCATTCCTTTTAACCAAAAAGGAGTCACTTTTGCAGCAGATAGAGGCTCCAGCCCAGCACGGCCACCTGATGATCTGGGGCCTCAGCGCCTGCCTAAGCCCCAGAGCCTTTCACATTGTTCCTATAAACACCCTCTCCTAGCTCCTGAAAGCCTTGTCCACAGCCACGACCCAGGCTCTCTCAGGACAGACTCCTCCCTGGGCGAGTACTCCTCCCGCTCTGAGAGTGAGTCCTCCTCATCCATTCTAGCTGAGCTGCAGATGGGTAACCCTGACACCACTGACTGTTCTGAGACACCTTCCCCAACCTGGGGTCAGAGGTCTGCTGTGACAGATGGTACCACCTTAACCACCCCTGCCACCACTCATGTAATTATTCTTCCTTCCTTCGCCTCCACCGTTTTTTACAAAGACTGATTTCTTGTCTGCCATCTTGTTATGCAGCTGAACATTTTTTTTTCACATAGGTGTTGATGAGTAAACCAATTCTATACCATCTGCCGGGGAGATGCACTACAGTCATCCTCATTAAGATTACTTTGAGCTATAAAATTTACTTATATTTTCTTTACTTAATTTATAGAGTTATTTATGATTGCTTCAAAATGGTTTACTTATGGCTTAGTATATGGTTATGGCTGGTGAGTTGTACAGTGATTTTCCTTAATATGAGTTATCTCAGAAAGTTAAATAAGTATACTGTTATAATTAGAATGTAGAAAAAGTCTAAAATGTTTCAAAAATTTTAATCCAATGTTAATACCTAGTAGATGACATTTTTCTTCACTGACTCATATTAATGGTCCTACGTAAATAGTTTAATATCCTTGTTTCTCACAGAAGTGCTTACTGACTGAGTGGTGCTAATTCTTCTTACTTGCCTTTTACTAAACAACCACATCTTTTTAACCCTTTTGCCCCAGAGGAATGGATGATGTAAATAATCTTAATTAACATTACAGAAATTTAGCCCTGTGATTGTTGTGGAATTATTTTTCCTGAGCCACTCCAGTACAGAAATTTATGAATACATTATTTATATTTGCCTTCCATCTATAAATATTTTTTCTACATGCTATGTCATTGAAAAGTGTCCATATGCCAAGCAGTTCCTAATAAATTATTAACGAATGCCTAAAATGCTTCAAAATTTTATGGCACAAATTTTCAATTGCATATAATGTAGAAATAATGGCTTCCATTTCAAAGGCACATAACTTTAGGCAGAAAATAAATAAATAAATAAATGGGAATTTATTTTCCTAAAATAAATGTTACAATGAAGTTCCAAATGAGCACTGTCATAAACAAAATTTTATTCGTGTTACATAGTTTCTATATTCTATCCAGGACATTAAATCTGCAACATTCATGCATAGAGAAATGTTTTAGTAAGCCATATATTTTTTAAGACTCTGCAATTACAGAAAATGAATCCCATCCATCTTTTTTTGGATGGGTTTTGGTAGTCATCCAATGAAGGTGTTTAAAACACATTATAGGACTTACTCCACTAAACGTTCCTCCCTTGCCACAGGAGGGGACCAGCCTGTGTTATCAGGTGCTTGGCAGGTATGGCTGTCTATGTCCTACCAGAGCATATCAATTCGTGTACTGATCTCTTCAGTTGTATGTTATTAAGACTCTCTGGGATCTTCAGTTATGCAGATGGTCTTGTGTACACAGAGGGGACTGCAATTGAAATGAATTCCAATATCAGTTTATTGCTCATAGGTTCTTCATGGGATGTTTTTCCTCATCATTAATTATAATCACTATAGTTATAAAGTATTTTCAAAAATCCTAATAGTGTTATTTAATTACTAAAATCTTGATTGGTTTAACACAATAAAAGAGTAAATCTACGTTCAGTGTTCATTTATAATCCCTGAATATTATTGAAACCATCAAAATAGGATTCAGTTTCTTAAGTTTCGTAACATACAGGTTGAGTATCCCTAACCCAAAACTCCAAAATCCAAAATGCTTCAAAATCTGAAAAAAATTGAGCACTGACATGGCACAGTAAAGTGGAAAAATTCTACACCTCACTGCATGTGAAAGGACAGTCAAAATGCAGGTGCACTAAAATTATTATTTAAAATTACTTTCAGCATATGTGTATAAGGCATGAAAGAAATAAAAATGAATTGCATGTTGAGCCTTGGGTTCCATCCCTGAGGTACGTCATTATGTATATATAAATATTCCAAAATCCATCTGGTCCCAAGCATTTGGATAATGGATACTCAACCCACTGCAACCTACTGATTTTTAATAAAAATTAATCTCCTACTTTTAACATTAATTATAGCACATTAGAGCAATAGCATTAAGATTATATTTATAAAGATCCACCAGACTTGATTTGAGCAAGTAATCAAAAACATCCTCAGATCACACCCCAGGGATACTTAAAGGCTCTGAAACATTTGATCAGATCTGTGCCTCACATTGAATATCCAGGTCTTTCCAGGTAGAAGGTACTCAATATATGATTGGTTATGATATGAAAGCAATTTTCCTAACATCTGAAAAAAGTATTTTAAAAATGCAATCCTTATAATGAAATGTTTATTGATTTTAGTATCTATGTGTTATGGCTATGAAGTAATAAAATCAGATTTATTCTAGGTCATTTGAAAACATAACCTATTTTAAAGTGAAATCGTGGAACTATGTAATTATTTGTCTATCTTTCAAGCCTGTATAATAGAAGTTTATTTTGTTTTAAAATAAGTAGTAAAAGCTCGCAAATTATGGGTCTTTATGTACATACGCGTGTTTGTGTGTATTCAGCTATAAGACAATTTTAACTCAAAGATCTTACTAATGTTTTGTCTTATTTGCATGCAGTACATAATCTCCATAATACTCATCGATGTGCTGTGAATTGTTATTCCTGAGCTTAACTTGTGAAAACTAAGCTGATTCAGTTCAATTAGAATATGTATCTATTAAATGTCTACTATGTGGCTAGCACCAGGTTGTATGTATAAAAACTTCAAAAAGGAGCCTATCTATGATCATCTTCAACAAGAATCTTGAGATACCTTTGGGAATACAAAACACTCATATATAAATTAATTGAAATCAATTGTTAATAAATCAAACAGATGAAGTTTGAAGTAGGGAAAAGTGAGTATTTTAACATGTATTTCTGATGCCTTACTGGGTATGTGACTCTTCTAGAATAGGTTGTTCCTTAGATTATTCACTTTGCTTTGGAAACCTTTATTCACTAGAGGATATTCCTAAATCTGAGAACCAATCCCTCCCCTTATGTCAGAGCATTCATTTCAAATCCTGCATGTGCCATTTAAGTCACAACTACTTAAGTCATGATTTTTAGGAGCACATGCACCCTCCATGTTTATGTAGCAGTGACTCCTGTTGATACCACTAGGCACTTCTGTGAACAGAGTGTCTAACTGCTTTCATCCTTTCTAGCCACCTTCTGTGCCCTCTGATATAGAGGAGAGTGACTTTCAGAAATAAAATGGAGAGAGAGAGAGAGACTGAAAAAAATGTGCCCTGCCCCTATGACATCAGTGTTTGAAATAAATCAGAACTTGGCAGTTGATTACTGTCATGCAGTTGGAAGCCTTTCCTTGTCATGTAAAGGAGAAAATGTTTACAGGAACTGTTTGCTATAACAGGATGCCTCTGCCCTTTCCTCAGAGCCAGATAACAGTGAATGGCAATTCTGGAGGAGCCGTGAGTCCAATGAGTTACTATCAACGGCCGTTTTCTCCCTCGGCATATTCTCTCCCAGCCTCGCTCAACTCAAGCATGATCATGCAGCATGGCAGATCCCTTGGTAAGTGATGTGAGCGCCATGAGTCCCGCAGCTATTTCAATATAAGTACAAAGCACACGAGAAAAACATAAGGCATCAAAGTGAGGCAGGATATTTCAACACTCCACTCTTCAATGACCTGTCCTAGGAGGAACCAGGGCAGAGGTTTCAACATCAGACAAAACAAATACCCAGCTCTTCCAAGACCATGATCCCATCTACCTCTGAGCCTGGAAAAAGGCTATTTGATATTTGAGGTGGCGGGTAGAAAGGAAAAGATACAGTTGGGGAGAGGAAAGTCCACACTACCCAGGAAAAATTAATGTAGTACTTTCCCATGAGGCAGATTTTACCTTTGTGGAAGAACTTTTGCTGTAGAATGTTCTTTTTGGTTTATATACAAGGAAGAATGGTTTAACAGTCAAAACAGTGTGACAAAGGAACAGGCTGTCTCACAAAGTAATAAAACAATAAAGTACTGGTTCACATGGTAATAAACTACCATGCAGACCAAGACCGGAAGGCCATCAGTTTGGGATGGGGTGGTAGGAAGCTAAACAAGGGAAACTTCAGAGATCTCTTAAATGATGATTCTATAATTTTATAGAGAGACAGTTATTAACCCTTTGGGGATTAAGGATCAGATGAAAAATATAGCTCTCCTCCAGGAAAAAAAAAACATAAACAAAAATATTTAAGCATATAATTTGGTGGGCCTCATAAATTCTTCAAACCTCCTGGAAAAAAAAAAAGATGCTATGCCATAAAAAGAAAAAATCTTATATAAAGCATGGTTTAGAAAAGAATGTAATAAATACTTCTAAAACCCCCAAACATTAAAAGACATACCAAATTGAACCACTAAATGAATTTGGGCTGAAAAAGCTTCTGTGATGTTGAGAAATGAGAAAACTTCCAGGAGAGCAAGAAGCAGAGAAGGAGCTGAGGAGAGCATGCCCACATGTGCCTCTCAGGAAAGGAGAAAAGGAGAGGACACATCCTCTGGCCACTGCAAATCAGCAACAGAGAAAAAGTGACCAGAATACAGGACTTTGCTATTCCCTGGCTGACAACAGGCAGCACCCCACCTTCCCAATACTGACTCCATATTGAAAGATCATGATAATCCCTAGTTTACTAAAGAATATGTTATGGCAATATCCAGGCTGTACATGGTGGAACTCAGCTTCCATGGTCAACAAATTCTTTGTAAGACTTCAAATGCAGCTGTGGGACTCATTAAAGACTCATACTTGTGCCTTCTTTAATGCTACCCCTGGGGATCATCTGTGCATCTTATAATGATGTCCTTTTAGAGTACAAGAAAGTAGAACTTCCCTGTGCCAAAAATTTTCCCTTTAACCACCAGCCCATACTTAGTATTATAACAGAAATCCATCATATTTAGATTTTTGTAATGGAACTATATAGCATCACATATATATAAAGTAAAGCTTCACAAGTTATTCTGGATATCCACAACACTTTCCCAAATACTTATTATCAAAGTGTGACTCTTTATCCAATTGCTTGTCCTAATGAACACAGTTTTATCCCCCCTACCAGCACCATTCCATCAAACAAAAAAAATTACAAATATTCAAATAGAGAGAGACTTTGATTTTAGGCCTTATCAATGAGCAGATTTTACATATTAACTATACTACATGGGAAGAATTTTCTCTTATAAACATCAAACAAATTCTAATTGGCCAATGCTGTGATAGGAGAAGAATTTACAAGAATTTATAAGTTTAATCTTTATATTTAGTTGGGGACAAGGGATTGCAAAGATAAGAGTTAAGTGGACCATATAAAAGAATAATAAAATAAAGAACTAACTTCCATTGCATAAGCTACAGTCTGTATAACCTGAAGAAACACAGGGAAAGACAGAGTTGATTCCATGTGCTTAGGTTAGGACTTTGCACATACTAACTTTTCGAAAAACATTCATTGATGATTAAAATACTAGCATCAGGGTTATGCTCTCAAGTCCTTTTTGGAATTTGAAAAGATATTTATTTCATATTCATTGGCTTTCATATTCCTAGCTTTATCCATTCTTTTAAAACATGTACTAAAAATGCTTTTCTGTTGCAAGCTAAATTGAAAATATTCATAATAATAGTAATAGCTATAAATGTTAGACCTTAACTCCAATTACCCTTATAAAGATGAGTTAAATTTCTTAAAATGTTTACTTATGATGTTCATACAATTTTTCATGAAAAATACATTTATATATAATATTTGTGTGTGTATGTATATGTGTGTGTACATATATATGTACTTCTACCCACACACATGTATATCTGAATGATATCAATGAATTCTATCCTGAAACATAGGGCTCTTCTGTTTCCACATAAAATAACTTTCTGAGTGACAGAACTACCATGCTATGGCATAAACAGTATAAAGAAAGTGACATTCTTAGTCACCAAAATTTTGAAATAATTGATAAAAGACAGGATGTCTTATTGCTAATTTTGCCAGATGAATGGCAGGACATATTTTCAAACTCAGAGTAAGTGGAAAATATAATACTTGTGTGTCCCTTTGGTTGCTTCTGAAAGTACACTAGAAGTTGATAAAGATAACAGGAAGATAGGTTCTTGACAAGCTTCATCTAATTTACATCCTCAGTACCATTGCTATCTTCAAGTGGTAAAACGTTATAGCTTTGGCCTTTTATAGCCATTGGCTATTTAAACCCAATTCAATTCATACTAATCATTTTAAAGCATTTTTTGTTACCCCCAACCTTTAACATTCATGCCTGTTTGGATGTAAAAATTTTTAAAGTGATTTTTTGTTCACTTGGTTTTCTATGAAGTCACTGTCATTGGTGGTCAGTGGTATCACAAGAATAACATTGGTATGAATTGTGACTTGAGGAAAACTACTGAATTTATCTGCCCCCTCATCAGAACTGATTGTTGTCTCCCTCTCAAGATAGTCCCTCAAGATTACTGGAAGGGAAGACGAGGTGGTACATGTACTGTTTACTTAACAGTGGCTGTCAAACAGTCACTCAACAAATGTCATAAATGTTGGGGTCTTCTATGTTATAGCCTATTCACTGCACATCTTCACTATATCCTCTATACCACAAGCTGCTCAAAAACAAAGTCAATGAATTAAAAGACAGAGCCATGGAAATATGACCTCTATGTTACAATTGGCACAGAAGTACAAGAGGCACTATTAATTTTGAATCTTTTTGCATCCAATATATTATATTTCACCAAATTTTCTGCACAGATTCTGCAGAGACCTATTCCCAGCATGCACAGTCTCTGGACGGTACCACCAGCAGCTCAATCCCACTGTACAGATCCTCAGAGGAAGAGAAGAGAGTGACAGTCATCAAAGCTCCACATTACCCGGGGATCGGGCCAGTGGATGAATCCGGAATCCCCACAGCAATTAGAACGGTAGGAAATGCCAGCGTGTGCGTCTGCCTGGGTCTATGCACAGCCTCTACAAAGGATGGATTGTGCGTGGCTTTGTGCATTCCTAGGGTCTTATATAATGAGGATTGCCCTCTGTGCCATTGAGTTCTCATGAATATTATGCTGTGTGGCAGAGAAAGAGAACTGTCCATTGAAGAGAATTACGCAACCTGTTTTTCCATTTGAATTAAGAGTCATGAAAATTGTGATTTTTTTTTATTAAATGATAAAACTTTTTTAAAGAAAACAAGGATAGATAGAGCCATAGAGAAAAAACAAGGAAAAAAAAAAAGCAAATTCTTTGGCTGCCTTGAATTCCCACATGCATTGCAAATAAACCAGTGATTTTGTTTCTTGAAATGGATGTGTGTTAACACCAGGAGATGCAGAGCTGTGAATTGGGAGCTGGGAGGTGAGATGATTGGAGTGAAGGGAGCTAATGTCATGGAAAGGGAAAAGTGTCTAAAGAAAAATACACATCTGAGTGTCTGTCCCCTGTCAACTGAGCCTGCTGGGAGCTCTCTGGGGATGATAAGTGAAAGTGTTGGGAATTTTTTTTTTTTTTTAAGTCTTTAAACTCTGCCAAAGCATTGCTCAGTGTGTCCGGGGCAGCCCCTTCTGGCAAAGCTCAGCAGCAGCAGAGGCAGCTATTGAGAGCCAGGGCAGGCAGCTGCGTGCTGACCAGGTCCACTTGAAGAGGAGGCTTGTGCTTGCCGGGGAGAAGGAGGATTGGGGACACCAGGATGAGAGCCACAGCATCTTTGCAGGTGAAATTGGGGGGAGGTGTGAGAAAGGAGCTCCCCCAGAGGCACACAGTTTGCCGGCCAGGCCCACATAAAGGGCTGGGTGTTGCCAAGAGCTGCTTCCCTGGAATGCAAACCTGGGGAGCCAAAGACAATAATGGGTAGAGAGAAAGAATGGGAAAGAGATCAGGAAGAAATCAGTGGTAAGACTGAAGCATTCCAAAAAAAGCTAAAGTGTGGGGCTTTTCTTCTGTTTTTGAACCTGCATTTATTATATGAGGAGTCCATGGATGATATACAGACATAAAATGATATACAGATATAAAAGAGTTAAAATTTATTAATATAAGCATCAGTGTTTTAATTGAAGTTAAAAAAAAATCAGTACAGCAGGAACTGGGGCTTTTGACTCATTAGATTGCTAGAATGTTGAATGTGGTGAATTGTAAAGTCCTAAAATTCTATGTTGAAACTGATGATTGTCATAGTGAAGTAACAGAAAAAGTTCAGGGATTGTGACTAATATTTTCAGTCTTACAATGATTACATGTTTCCGATGGTGGTGTTTGGTCATTTGTGTCCTTTTTAGGATTTCTGACTCAAAATTGTTAAATTTGATTTTTTTCCCCCTAATAATGTAAGGATACCAAGTCAGACAGGGATGGTGTCGTTAGTTTTGTCTAATTGATCCTTGAGGAACAGTAGATAAACATACTAAGAGATCTTTGCTTTCTATGTAATTATAAAGTTGGACTCAAAAGCTTTTATCTGAAACCTCTGGGTAGATTTTTAAGTCAATACATGATATGTAACAGTGGGCATGCAAATTTGATCCATTCTTTTAATCCATAAGACATAATTTTTAACTGGCAAGGCCTTGCATTGTTTGTATTTTAAAGGTAAAAACTGGTGGTTAATGAAAATCAAGTAATCTTAAAATGTATGTATTATTTTTCAACTATAAATCAAAAGCATGCTTAGTTATAAGCAAATACATACACTAGACATGTGATGCTCATTTGCCTTCTAAAAATAGAGAATAAAACATAAGCAATCCAGAAATTCCTTATAAGGAACCGTAATTTTATGTACAATCATTCTCTCCTTAGACCTTTAAAACTTTACCAAGAAGGACCAGGTCTATGAAGACTTCTCTTACTCATGTTTACTATTTTGCAGCCTACAGCGCACATCCCCAAGTATAGCTGTGTTTATAAATGTTGAGTCAGGCCATCTCTGAGCCACAGCAGGCCAAGAATCTCCAAGGGTATTTTCCTTTCTCAGCTGTGTAGAAAGGAATGATTATAAGACTCAAATTACTTCATATTAAATTTCTGCCCAGTGTATACACCAAAGGCAGTACTGACTGAATGCACCATGTCGTAGTATCGTCTCAGATGACCAACATATACCAAGGCAACAGGATTTTATTAAATGGGCCAGACGCTCCAGAAAGCCTAGAATCAATACCCACTACTTTTGAGTTACTTTAATGAAGGGAAGGAGCTTTCTAGATTGACCACTCTCCTGCGCCCTGGGATGTCTCTGTCAGCCTTTTACTGCCATTCTCAAAAACAACAACAAAAATCACTAGGGCTCAGACCCCATGAGATCATGTAATTAAGCCCAGCTAGTTAAGAGACATGCAAAATTTTCTTCCTTTTAATTCAAATATAACACTTGTTTGACCATTTCTTAGAACTGGAAAGTTGCAAAAATTAGAACAGAATTACTGTAAACTGGTATGTAGAAAATATGTCTGTTTTCTTTTTGGGAATCGCTGCATGTTAATTCATTGTGAAACTCTGATGTTTCATAAACTGTAGGAGTAGAAAAATTGAAATCTATTCAGTCAAGGTTATAGATGACAACAGCACAATGAAGTCTTGGTAATTACTGTTCGTGCAAAATGTTTTTGAAGGACACATCTAAAAGTAAATTTCCTCAGATTTGAGGAGACATCTACTTTCATAATTACAATATGAAGCATGACAATCTTCATGATGGCATTTGTAAAAAAAAAAAAAAAGAGCTTTAAAGGATTATAGGGCTTCTTCTAGAAAGGGACCTTGAATTTTAAAATCCCATTTTACTAGTTTCATGTTCTCCTTTGCCAACTGATGGGGCATTGCCTGGCATCTCTTTGCTCACCATATAAAGCTAGCAGATGGCATAACTGTGAAATCCTACCTGATACAGGCCCTCCAACAATTGAGCAAAATATTCCTGTCCGTCAAAATACATTGCCATTTTCAGTGACGTTAGTTGACTTATTAGGCTTCGTTGTTCCCATTGGTTGCATCCAAGTATGGCTAGAAAATATTTTTGCACAAAGTTATGTATTATTTTTTGTTGCTCTTATACTGTAAAAGAAATGAAGATTAATGGAAAGGAAGTTGATCTTTTATGGAAATAAAAGTCCCTTAAATGTTGCAAAGGGGTTGGGCTCAGAGGTGGTACATTTGCCTACCTACATCCAGGCCCTGGGCTCCATCCTCAGCACTGCAATAAAGTTTTTAAAAGATACATGTTTGGGGTTGGGGTTATAGCTCAGCGGTAGAGAGCTTGCCTCACACACATGAAGCACTGGGTTCAATCTCAGCACCACCTAAAAATAAATAAAATAAAGTAAAGATATTGTGTTCATCTTTAAAAAATATAACTTAAAAAAAAAAGATACATGTTTAACTATTCTATTTGAGCCAGCAAATAAAAGCCAGTCTCCTGTTTTATCACTACTGTCCTTCCTACCAGCTGCTGCCATTTGACTATATAGTCAATCAGCTGCCTTCAGTTTTCCATTGTAGGAAGAGTTGAGAATGCAGAGGTGATTGGCAAATAAAGTCAAGTAGTCCTTAATGTTAATCTACTAGTGCAGCATTGCCAAAGCCATCTGGCACAGGACCCTCAATTTCTAGATGAAAAATGTGGTAACTCTATTTCCAAAAGAAAAATTAGGATATAAAATATAAACCAATGCTCGAGCTAACAAGTACAAGAATTCTTTTGTAGCAGTACTAACCAAACTTTCCAAATCAAGAGAACAGTCTTAGAAAATCTGGTCTATTTAGCTAACTGTGTCAAACAAAATAGTCAAATTTCTTGCCCATGTAACTTTGAAAGAGTTGGGATAAAGATCTTGTCAAGCAGAACATTTAGTTATGATTATAAAGATATATGTTTACTTTTCTACTGATGTACAATAAGGTAATGTCACATATAAAGAGCTAGATGCGGTCAGTGCACAGCTGTGATTTGAACAAATAAAACCATAGCATCTAACGCTCCAATTCAGTATAAACTCAAAGGAGGGATAATGTAATTATAATTTGCATATATAACAGGATAAATTGCTAAAATCACCACCAAGTAATAGTGAAAAGTCAGAAAATTTTTATAACTAAACAGAAATTGCCACTAAAAAGATAGACTACAAGCAATGAAGACATTGAAAAGCAATGTTTACCTGAGGTCAGTTCTATTAACTATCGGATATTCTCTATTACAGACAGTTGACCGACCCAAGGACTGGTACAAGACTATGTTTAAGCAAATCCACATGGTGCACAAGCCTGGTATGCACGTTCTGTTTTCTGTTGGGGGCCTTGTGGTTTGAAGGAAGTCTACTCCTCCTTCGCATGATTTCATTCACACAAAAATGTCAAGACCCTAGTGAATCTCATGCCCCCTTTCTTTTCAACATTCTTCCTGTTCTTTTATCACTCCTCAACTCACAGATGTGTGCCTCTGCCTCACCCCCAAGCTGCCAGAAAGCCTCTTAGAAGGAGCACCTTGGACACTGCCAGGTGTTCTGGTCTTTTCCCTCCATCCTTCCCTGTTCACATCCTGCACTGGGCATGTTGTCTATTTCAACAGACTCCTCTTTCCTCCCTCCTCCCTCCTCCCTCCTCCCTCCTCCCCCAAGGGCTCGCTCCTTATCAGGAGAGTGATGTAGGCTGGGCTGGCTGAGCCTGCTCCCTGCAGTTAACAAGCCTCCTAGGGAAGTGAGAACAAGGCATGGGCTTTGCATGCTGTGAAGAGGGCCATAAGGCAAATACATTAAAGATACGAAAGGTCAGTCCAGAGAGGCTCAGCAAAAGGCAGTACTTGGAAACATAAATGGATATTATGAACTAGGAAAAACGCATTGCTCTTTTAGCAAATTTCTGATGTTTCTCTGAAATTCTGCTGTGTTGTTATGGCATGGTGACAGAATCTGTACTACCATAATATTTATGTTTCATTTTCTAGATGATGACACAGACATGTACAATACTCCTTACACATATAATGCAGGTAGGATGGGCCGATGGGTTTCCTTGCTTGTCATGACAATTTGATGCTCAACAATGTTGGAAGAACTACACCATCAGTTTGTTTTGTCCCTCTGTTTGACCACACTGTGGTTCCTATAATTAGGAGGTTGCTTGATTTCTTTTTTTCAGAGCATGCATAACAAAAAGATTGATCTTTTCTCATGGAAATGAGAATTAATACTGTTTTGTCTCATTCATCCCCACTGTTAGTTTATTCTGGGTTTCAGGAATGTTTAACCAAAGTGTGAAGGACAGGGTGAAAGAACATACCGGGTACAAAATAAGATAAAGATCTTCTTTTATCAACAGAGAGAGTGATTACAATTGGGAAAGATCTTTCAAATACACTTCCCAAAAAACAAATCAAGCAAAGTGTTTTGTGACCTTGTCCAGGTTTCTGCTCCAAAATGCAGTCAATCATTGAGAGATGTGAAAAATCCCACTTGGCTGGGCCACTTTTCTAACTCAGAATTGCCACTGATCCTGATAGAATAACTTCAGTCGGGGCACTGCCACTTGTATTTGAGTGTTCTGGCATCTTGTGAAGTGGTCTTCAGCTGGAGTGAGAGACCCTTAAAAAAAAAAATGGTTCCTTTTATCACTTCTTCCTAAATGTTGCATCAGGTATTTCACCAAGGGCCTTCTCTGCCTGCCCAGCCACAGGCTCAGGACTGTTCATCAGCTTTGTTCTCATTTAGGGGTCCTTTAGCCAGCCTGGCAGCAGAACTGTGTGAGGCTCTCTCCTCCTTGACCCCTGAAGAACCAGCATTCATGCCCTAAAAGCATTAGGTATTTTGCTACTAGTTTCCAAAGACAAATAGAGGGAAAATGAGTAAAGCAAGCTTAGCTAGCTACTAATCTCTGGTTTTAGGTCCTGGCTCCCTCAAATTATAACGGGAAATACATTAAGATATTCCCCTCCATCTTTATTTCCAGTTACCAGTACACCAAACTTACCTCTTTTATTTAGCTCAAAAGTTGAAGTCTGACTGTAGAACTGAGGCAAAAACTGTAAGTGTGGATGTTGTCTCTTTACATTTGTCACAGAAATTTGCATGGATCTTCGGGAGGAACAGATGAATGCAAATAAACTTACCCCGAAATATTGCAGTTGTGGAAATTCAGAATTCTTGTGATTTTTTTAAATATTGAAGGTGATGTTCCATGAGTAATTAGTGCAGGGAAAGCCAGAATTCCTATAAGTTTTATCGTTTAATCAGTAGAAACAGCAACTGCAACTAGTCTTCTCCCTTTTTACTAACCCCGCATCCCTCTTCTCTTTGTCCTGTACTTATCCCTGATACCCTCTTCTGTCCACCCAAAGTAATCCTTCAGGGATGACTAGTCCCTTGGGTTTTATGATAGCATCTCTGACCCATCTACCATTTTATAATATCCTTTAATTCTTAGTATATTTTCCTCATTTGGTCTTTATTAAATGTTACCAATTATTTTCAGTAATAATTCTATTTGTGCCTCATTTCCTCAGATGTACTAGAAGCTTACTGAACATTTACCTCATTCCTCAAATTTACTAGAAGCTTATTGAGTGTTTATGTTCCCTTGTGCCTCACATAGCATCGTATGGATAGAGCTTGTTCAGGGTTTTGTTTGATTGCAATTAACATATTAATTGTCATATGTAAAGCACAGTTTTTAAATTATCAGCAGATATTTGGAAATAGCTCTAAAATTTTTTAATCTTCTTCTGAAACCTTACCGATGTTATTAGCCTATGATCAACGAGAAAATTTGCTGAGTGCCTGTAAGTTTTTTTCTTATTAACAGTCTGAATGGTTACTAATTCCAAAATAATTGATGAAAATTTACTGTCATCAGTGAATGTATATGTAGTAAGTTAATAAATAATAAATAATGATTACTAAGTTGATAATATTACAAAGTGATACATGACATACCGTCTTATGTGTGCATTATGAATATGTTTGTGGATAATAGTTTTTAAAATCATTGGGTATGTTGAAAGGCATGAACAACTTCATGCTTTTTTAAATGTTGCTTTTGTTTTTGTTTTTGTTTTATTCATGGTAGGTCTGTACCACCCATCCTACAGCACTCAGTCACATCCTGCTGCAAAGACCCAGACCTACAGACCTCTTTCCAAAAGCCACTCTGACAATGGCACCGATGCCTTTAAGGATGCATCCTCTCCGGTTCCTCCCCCACATGTTCCACCTCCGGTCCCACCGCTCAGACCAAGAGATCGGTCTTCAACAGAAAAGTAAGGCATTCCCCATCCCACAAAGAGGCCTATACCTAGCTTAGAATACAAAATAAAGCTCCATGGCATTCAGTAGAAGAATCAGTGCTTGTCTTGCAGGGAGAACATATGTACATCTTATTAGTCCCTACATAAACCATATGGCCCACCACTATGGAGACTGTAGCAAACATTTTGTTGGGTCATGCTGATGTATTTGAAAGATCTTTCGAATGCATGAAGTTAAACTTCAAGTAAAGTGGACACAGCCTCTGCTTTTTGATCCAATAAGTGCATATATGAGATAAATAAATATAAATAATTTACATGGACTTCCTTTGTTACAGCAGGTGAGTGTCTATACAGTTAATTTTCAGTTTCCTCAGATCTGAAATATTAGCTTAAGAAAATCTTTTTTTGAAACCAGAGGAAATTATTCATTAATCATAAATAAGGAATTAGCTAATAAATGTCTATGATTCATTTTCCCCAGTTTTTTTGAGCTGATCCTAAATTTTCATTCCACTGAAATATTTTTATTCAGAGTATTCACACTCAAACAAAAATTTACAAACACATTTTCATTAGGTCATTTTTAGTAGGATTATGACACTAATATTCCTATTATAGGTAATCTTTATCCGGAACTCATTAGATAGGCACTTTTCCCATATTATGTCATTTAATTCTGAGAACATCCCTAGGCATGTCTTCTACTTCAGAGAGAAAGACAACTAATTTGAAAATTGCAGAAACTTGCTCAGCTCATGCAGCTAGTATATCAAAGCCAGGATTCAAACTCAGCTCTGCTTAAATCCAAAGCCTATGCTGGCAATGAACAAGTAAGGATACAAGAATTGGTCTTTATTAATACTGGTTAGTAAGCATCATCTATCAAAACCCTTTAAGAAAGTTTATATTCAATACCCCATTGACAATAATTACTGATCCTTATAGGGTACATGATGTCACAAAAATGGACACAAGTCACATGTGAAGGAATTCTCATTTTAATATCGATCTCTTATGAATTATGTGTTTAGAAAGTGTGATGTCTTAACACTGAAAAATAATCATTTAGACACAAAATAGTGTCTTTGCTATCAGAAATGACCAAAACTAACTCAGATTTAAATGTACTATTTCCCAGTAAAGACATAAGATGATTGTTTAAAAATTCCAGATGGCTCTTATATGTATTTTCTCATAATGCTCAAACACCTCTGCAAGAGAAAAAGACACATTTTACTCTGTCTTATAGAAGAAACAAAGACTGAAAATGTTTAAGGGGTCTTTTATTGCTCAGCAATTTACTAGACTGTCAGGACTTGCCTCTAAGTTTCCCTCTTGGAGCACTACTATTTCCAATATGCTCTGGAGTCAGAATTTTATTCCCATCTATGGAGTCAGAATTTCCCTAATCTAAAGTCAGAAAATCCTTTTTCCTGAGAAATCTATAATCAACAAATTTTTCTTCCTTCTCTAAAAGATGCCTTCCTCTTTAGTCTCAGCTGCCTGAAACAGTTTGACTTTCAAAGTCCTTCCTTGGAGCTTTACTTGCTAAATCCTTTTGTGACAGTCTCTGAATGATGTATGAGCTCAGGAAAAAAAGTAGATTCCCATGAGATCAATATTGCACTCTAGTTTATCAAGGCTGACACCAAAAGGGGTCTCCCATGCCACTCTGCATGTTTCTGTGTATGCCAACCCAAGTGCTTCTGTTGAACTCCTCGCAAACTCTTCTACCACTTGTAAGAAATAGAATCAAATATGGTGTGTGTGCTACTCCTTATCACTTTGGATGGAGGACACCTAGTCACCGAGTGGTGGGTTAAACTCTCATAGCTTCACAGAGCCTATATTGCCACTTACCTCCTGTCATATTCTTTAAACTCAAACATACACAGCTGTCATTACTGACCCATGAGTTTACTAGCATGTCATTGTCTGTGTGTCCATAAGCCCCTCATGTGAGTTTTTGAACCAGCAGTGGGATAGTTCCATATGAAAAAAAAAAAACCACAGGAAATATAATATAAAAAGAATGACTTTCCTTAAATCATTTATGTCAAGCAAAATATACAATATGTGCTATTTTCATAAATTAACTTTTTGTCCTGAGATTTTTTTTTAAATCTCTGCTAAAATTAACTTTGAAAACAGAGAGCAAATAGTTTGTGTACAGCTGCTTTAAGCATACAGGATTATTTTAGTGTGTGATTTGTTGTTTATTTCTAGGCATGACTGGGATCCTCCAGACAGAAAAGTGGACACCAGAAAATTTCGGTCTGAGCCAAGGAGTATTTTTGAATATGAACCTGGGAAGTCATCAATTTTGCAGCATGAGAGACCAGTAAGCACTTCTCATAAATCAGAATGCCCGCTCAGTTAGCTGCCAGGGTTCCCAAATAAACCTGAATTGCACATCGTTTAGTGATTTTTGTCATGAAGGTAGTTTATTTATTGGCATTATTTAGAAATCATGTTTATTTTGTTTCATGATCTGTGCATCTTGTCTTAGAATTGGTACACTTTAATAATCATAGCTATTTATTATATATACTTTTAATATGTATCCAATTATTTATATAATTAATGTATCCATGTACACACATATGCTAGATTCATTAGCATAGCTACTCTGTGCTTAGTCATGAACCTAAATTTAATTAAAAAACAAAACACTCATAAACACAACATGTAATTTCTATTCTAGGTTGCCAATGAGAAAAATCATTAATTAATCTCCCTAATATATGCAGACACAGGAAGGTTCATTCTTTGCCTTCCTTAATGGTTTCTTAATATTTCTTTAATTTAAGGGGAAATTTTCTAAATGCCCTTTTTATAACAAGTTACTTACTTGATTTTTATTAAATCCCTCTCAGGTTACTAAGCCTCAAGCATCCTGATTGATTGTCATTCTAGGATCAAGACTATTTCATTTTGCAATATTTTTTCTAATTATTGATTTTAAGGATATGCAAACAAAAAGATATGTAAACCTGAGAAAAATGCTTTGCTTCTTCTAAGTGCGAGTTAAAGTTAACAAATAGGTTCTTCCCTGGTCCCCTGGATTTTTGCTCTCCCCAATCTCCTTTTTTATTTCTCCTTTTCTTCCACTCAGAGATCAGCACCCTCAAGATCTCTTTAAAACTCTGCAATTCCTCTGCATCTCTAAGCCTGCTTCTAGAAAAACCCTTTATGTCAATATCAATTTACTTCGTCCTTGCCTTAAAAGAATTTTGGGATCAGTGAACAGGAAAAAGAAAGTTTTATTAGCTCCCCCAAGAGTAACTAAGAAAACACACTATTATATAGACTAGAAGGCAAAGCCAGCCCTGAAATTTAATTGGAAACCCTTGCCTCACCACACCCAACCTAAGTGTCCTTGATTTTAGTTTGGGAAACCCTGTATTAGTGGTGGTGTTTTTAAGAAGCATGTTCAAAACCTTATAATCATATAATTCAAACAGACATTTATCTAAGTCTCCTGTGGCTCTCTTCAAACAACTCATATGTTTTTGAGTAACAAAAAAACTAAAAGAAAAAAGGAACATCACTGATTCGCAGACTCCATTTTACGAACTTATAACCCATTTTCTACGTTATATGATTGAATATCGAGGTACTTTAAAATTTCCCAGAATGAGAATTAAGTGAAACAGAATGTTACAACTCCATGAAATTGAAAATATCATATTTAGATATGAATAGCAAAACTTTAATAATCATTCTAATAATTATAAGACTCCTAGGATGGTGGATGTTGTAATTGTATTGAAATGCTTTCGTAGCTAGAGTGTCAGAAAACAGAGTCAACTTCAGAAGTTTTCCCATCAGGATATTGCTATGGTTTACTCATTCAAGAAAACTGGATAAGCACCAATTATGTGCCAGACTTTATATTGGGTGATAGGGACATAATGGGGAACAAGACAGTGTCTCTGCCTTAAGGAGCTTTAAGTCTCTCATTGAGTATATATACACGACTAGATCTGTATTTGTGCCAATAAGCAACCTCTTCAATGGCACACCTAAAAATCCTCCCTGTGCCCACCTAAAGCTCATTCATGGGCCCTATTGTTGTGACTCAAATTCCTACATTACTCAAGTCTTTAGGTTAAAGCTTTAAAGACTCCTTGTTGTAAAGTAGCAGTAATAATAGCAACAACCAAAACAGTCATTGCAAATCTTTACTGAGCACTTACTATGTGTCATGCTTCTGTAATTAGTTATTTATGCCTTATCTCATGTAATGTCCCCAACAACCCTAAGAAGCAGATGTGTGGAATTCACATTTTATGGACAAAGAGACTGGCAATATTAACTAACTTAGCTGGTGGGTGCACTCATGCCCGGTGCACTTGATCACTACTGTATTAGATTAGCTGAATGGGAAACGTTTAGCTGGGACTCAACTACCACCTAAGTCTATTTGATAATTTTGCAGGTATAAATTAAGTTTATTGACTGATTTATAATAAGTTAGTATATTTTATTTACTTTGCCAGAAACCTGGGCCCTGAGTAATTATGACCCAATACTTAATTGGTCCTAAAAAGATAGAAAGTTCTAGAGCCATGAGTATTGTCAGAGATTTGGGTATGGATAGGAAAAGATAAGTGAAAGGAACCTAGAAACACTTATCTTTTCACAGGAAAAGATAAGTGAAAGGAACCTAGAAACATTGAAGGAAATGAGAATGGCTCTATGGAGCAAAATTTTAATCCTTCCTAAACAAATTTATTGGGAGCTAGTGTTATGCCAAATGACTTGAGCAAGTCATATGTATCATTTTAGTCAGGCACTGTGTTATAGGACTAGTCTATTCTCCCAACGACCACAACATCAATCCTGAATCCATTTCAGTCCTCTATAACCTGGGGAGGTGGGGGAACAAAGGCCTAAGGGTAGTGGTACTACATATCAATCTTGTTTGCAGAATATTCTAAGTGTCTTGAACACACAGATGTAGAGGACACAGTACAAGCTTGCTAAATAAGAGTGATGTAAGACAAATGGACAGCACAAAGGGGTTTGAAGCTATTAGGGATGCACCTTCCTGTCTTTTTACCCCAAGACGGTTTGAAAGCATTTCTTTGCTCTTCTCGTTTTTAATTTTTAAAAACCATACACAATAGTCAGGCACTTCTCTGTTGCTTTTTTGAATTCTAGGAGGACCTCTCCATCTGCTCAGTTTTCTCAAATGTCAACTCAAATCCCCTCTCTCCCAATGAACTCAAGATCCTGATCACAATGAGAGATACCATTGTCACTTTTCTCTTCAGGTCCATACTTGTTCATTGCCTGAATTACACTTGATCCTGTCATTGCCTGGACCAGGTAACAGCCACCTAAAGATCCATTTCCCTAATTCTCCAACCTAATCTCCACACCACAACTAGAGCAATATTTAGAAAATATTTATAAAATATCGTGCTCAAAAATTTTTTCCTGGCTCTCTGTTGTCCTTCATTCAAAATCCAAATCCTTTAACATAATTTACACAACACACACACACACACACACACACATTGTGTGACGTAGTCCCAGCATCCTCTGCAGCCTCATCTCTCCCCACCCACCCTACTACTGGGTTCCAACTACACAGGGAGCTTTCAACCTCCTCATTTACACAGGCTATTTCCTCTGCCCAGAAACCTCTCCTCACTACCTCTTCCTTCACATAGAAATTTTCATCCTGTGTCTTAGTATAGTCACACTGACTGCAGGTAATTGTCCCTTCTCAATTCTAGGTTTAAAACTCTCCCTGCTGGTACCTGCAGACTCCCACCTCCATGGCCCATATCACACAGAACTGTCATGGCCTGTTTACTTGTCTGTGTCCCTCTCTCAACTTCAAGCACCTTGAAGGCAGGAACCATGTCTGGTGCAGCATCCTATCTCCCACACCTAACAATGCTTGACATATGGTATGTGTGGGTGAATAACTCACCAAATTACTAAGTGAATGAATGAAGATTTTGCCCTTGCAGTTAGTGTAAAATTAGGGAGAGACTGAATCTTGGTTCTGTTGCTTATCTTTGAATGCCACACATTTCTAGTGACAAAAGGCCCAGTGAGTCACCATCAAGACATGCAGGAGGGATTCTACCCAGCTATTAGTAACTATGGCTCACTAATTCCATGATTCTCTGGAATACAAAGGAGGCAGAGGGGGCAATACTGTTTGAACAAAAGTCCTTCCCAAACCCTGGCAAAAAGACCTTCTTCTTCCTTAGGAATCAGTGGCATATGCATTTATGCTGTTCAACCGGAAAGCAAAAGTAAATGCACTTTTCTGAAGCTCATAAATATTCATTTGACTATAAATTTAGAAATGTTGACTAAATGGGCCTAATGTTTGATATCTAGAAAAAGACTGCAATCACCAGTTGAAGTCATCTTTAATTGACTTGATCTGTGAATCAGAACCATATTTCCACAATTATTTATTCCAAGAGGCAATCACAGGAACTCGCTATCAGGATTATATTAATAAAACTTTATGTCTCATCTAAATTGAATATACTTGTAGATGAGCCATGTTAATTTTTTTTCATTTTAAAAGGCGTTTGATCAGGACCTCTGTACATTTAATAAAATAAAAAACAATATGAAGATGCCCTTTTCCCTAAAATCACTAAACCTACACATAATAAGAAAAGCCAAAGGAAATAAGCATTGAAATCACTATACAGAGTGGAAATTTGATTTAAACCATGAATGAACATGAGCTGCTTTATCAACAAAAGTTGCCACTCAGAGATAAATGTATAAAAATTTTGGAAGTTTTATCTAATGGTTTGAACCATAAAGAATTATTCCAACTAGCAATGTGTATAGCATTCATTATTTATTATGGATCTACAGTAAATATAATACTTAACAGCCAGTGCTTTGAAGCTTACAAGTTAATGAGCATAAATTCTCAAGAAAAAAATGCATCAACACTTCTTTCTGTTTGGAGCAACATAAAGCAAGTATATGCCTCAGAAGACTGAGAACTGTGAAATTTCTGTAGCCACAAAAGCAGCTAAATGCTTTTAAACTGTAAAAATTGTTCACCCTTGTTAGCTTTTAAATAAGGATGATGTGTGATTTATAGTTATAGCTTTTCTTAAGTATTTCCTCTTACACTAGTGACATAAAGCTTGTATTAAGCAGAGGTTTGCTGGGATCTTAAAAAGAGGGTTAGAAAGATCATATCAGTTATCTCTGCTCTTCTGCCTTTTATGAGCAATTAGAATGAAGCATGACCATACTTCCTAAAATAACTCTGTTATAGGAGGAAAGTTGAATGAGGGAGATGATTAGCTTTCATATATTTTTGTTAGCTGACCATCTGTATACACGCCGCTGATTATTGTGAGATTTGTGTGTACCTTAGCAATCTTAGCAATCGCTACACAATGCGTTTAATTGTTGTGTAACTAAGGCGATTCAATAGGTCAACCACAGCAAAGAGAAAATTCTAGTTCTGCCACTTACATTTTATTTCACACAAAGGCTCTACTCAGGTGTGTGCCTTTCTTTATATGCCAAAGTTACTGAAGACTACCAGTGTTATTGTTTTGTGTGTTTTTTCTGCTAATGTCTACTGGCATAAAGTCTAGATCATTGCCCATTGAGATTATAAATTGTATTTTTAATAGGGAAAAATCATAATTAATGGGACATTGCCATTATAAGATATGGTACCAAATGATAGATATTCTGCTCCCTTTTCTATATTCTACCATAAAAACATATTTCCTTTTTTCTTTATTTTATTTATTTACTTATCTATTTTTTGAGTCAGGGTCTCACTAAGTGTCTAGAGTAGCCTGGAATTTGTGCTCCTCCTACCTCAGCCTCTCCAGTAGCTGGGGTTTTAGGCATGTGCCATGGCTCCCAGCATAAAATGAGAACTTAGTTTATCTATTTTTTATATATTTTCTTGAAGTTGAAGTCAAAGTGAAATTATACTTAATGTAGCTAGTAAATGTGCTGCCCTCTGCTGTTCATGCTCTTTAGGCAAATTTATTTCCTCTAATGGAAGTTATTCTATCTCCTCTTAGCAAACAAAATACTGTACTTGAAAGAAAACGTAATAAAATCAAGATAACTACTATCTAACTATAGTAACTATAAAGTTTGAAATAATCAGAGATTAGTTTCCTACGGGAGAACTAGTATGCCTCTCTAAACAGAAGAAAAATTACTGAAAAATTCTCTTGAATGTCAATTTATCAGAAACTCAATTCCAGAAAAACCTTTCTATGATAAATTATATTTTGTATCTATAATGTTCTAGATAATAACTTGAAGAAATAATATTTTAGTAATAGCAAAATCTTAATATTTTTGGAACTATTGAATCAAATTTCTTTATTAAACAGAAAAGGGCAAAGTAGTTACAAGAATGTTTTCTTTCTTCCAGTTTCACTGTTACTTCTGAAGTGTAAACCCAATATAATAGTGGCATAAATTAGGGAAAATGTCTTAAGAGTTCTGCAGCATTTTCCTATACACCATAGGATATTCTCTCATACTTTTATATATTGCAAAAATAACAACAAAGCAAAATGACATTTGAAAAAAGAAAAAACAAACAGCTTCAATACCAGAACACCAGTGTGGTCTTCTGTATATGTGCATTTTTTTTTTACTGTAATCATCCAATGCCAGCTTTTGGGTGTCATAATAACTACTGCACAAGTACATGTTACATTTTTTTCATCACTTATCACATACATTTCCTAGGGTTATTAAACAGTCTTTGTAATTATGATCTCTGCATGTATTGGATAACTTGGGTCCTTGCACTATTTTTGTTATGATGTCTCAAACGTTTTTCATCATCATGTGTAGTTATTATTACAACCTTTTACTATAAATATTGAAACAAAACCACAACACAAAAACACTTTGAGTGTATATTATTCAATATAGACTGAATCATTACATAGGGCTATTCATTACATAGGATTTAAAAAACTGTTACAAATGCAACAAGTCAATAAAACACTAAAATGAGTTCATGTAAAATAGAGGTTTTTGTTGGAATATGGACTATTTCAAAACCGTCAAAATTATAAAAGATACAGAATGTTTCTTTCAAGACTGAGTTGTAACTATTCAGTGGAAATCCTTGAGCTCCTTTAAGAATTGTAAGAAAATTATATGGAATTGGCTTTGGACCAGTGAGTGCTTAAGGGCCTTCTGGAATATGTCTTGGGAGTCTCAGCTCTTCTCCTGGCCAGGGTTACCAAATAATTTTTCTTAGGAATTTTTTTCTCACTTAATATACTGCACTCTTCAACTATACCATATTTAACTGGTGTCGTGTGATAATTATCAAAGAAGTAGTAAGGCCCCTGTAGTACTTTAAATACCCAATTTTAATTTTAAAAAGGAACATCCTGAATCAATCTGGTCAGGCAAGTATTATTTGAACACACTGAGTATGAGAGGGCTAAGTAACTGCTGGGTGTCTGCTTTCTATTACTTAAGTAATTGTATGGATTTTCTCCCACTGTTTATGTTAACACTCCTTAGTTTTTCCATCTTAAATACAACCATTCCGAAACCAACAGAGGGAAGCAAGTCAATTATAAAAATTGGCTTTTCTCTAAATTAGAATGGCAAGGAAACCAAGGTGAGATTTCATCCCACACTCCCTCCCCGTCACCAGCCATCCACAGCACCTACTTGGGGAAACCTGGCTCCACCCAGAGCCTTTCCTGTAGCTCAAAGTATGCAGGAGGAAAGGGAATCTTGGGGTGGCTCAAAACACCCCATCTGTCTTCACTGCCCACTCCCGATCTTTACATTTTTGCAGTAAGTCAGACTATTCCAAGGGTCTCTGGTCCTCGACCCCCACTGGAGCCTTTGAACCTTCTGATAGGTGTCCTCCCCAGCCTAACACAGCACACAACACGCACTGACCCGCGTCCTGTGGGTTCATAGAGAAGCCCTATGTAATGAATCAGTGTCTCCTTCACCCCCTCTTTCTTACAGCCCCCTCTCCCAACATCTCCGACACCTGTTCCAAGGGAACCTGGCCGGAAGCCTCTTTCCACCTCACCCTACGGAGAAGTAACGCGTAGCCCCTCCCCTCCGCCCAGGAGCGCCATCCCCGCGCCAAACTCTTGCGCCCCAGCTCTCTCTCCCATCCGGGTGAGCTCCTTCCTTCTTTTAAGTTTTCTAATGCTCTTGGGGAAGCTCAGGAGGAGCCCTGTTCTCCAGAGGCTAAGAAGGCCAAGTCAGAAGCTGGCTACTCACACCTCCCCCGGCTGCCCCTCTTCCTTGTCACCTAGCCCTGGATTCTTCCTGCCAAAAAACCCCCTAACCGCTTCCCAGCACCTCTTACTCCTCCCCGCACCTCCTATCTCTTCTCCCCTTCCCTGCCCCTGTCCCAGCCTCTCCAGATGCCTGCACCTGGGGGAATTGTCTGCAGACTTCAGACCCTGGGGCTGCTAGTCACCAAGAGGCCAGGGACAATGATGTGACCAGCCTCAGAAGAGCCATTTGGTGCCTCTCTTGAGCCTATTTTAAGACTGGGGTGTGCTCTCCATGCTTCCATAGTGAGTTTTCCATGGTTTGTGCAAGGAACTAAGGAGAGAATTAGAAACCTTGGCCAGGGGCAATAGCCAGGGACCTTGACGCTCATCTTCATATCCTGGTTTTACTCATTTTACTTTAACTTCCTCCGTTCTCTCCTGCTGAGGTTTGTTGGATGAGAGTTGGTGCATGTTGGCGTGTGAATGCGCGCGTGTTTTTCATACCACACAGCATTTCCCTCACTTCGCTCAGTGTGCCTTTTCCTTCCCTTTTCCTTCACGTCTGCTCTAGACTGATCGCATAAATCCAGATGACATAGATTTAGAAAATGAGCCCTGGTATAAATTCTTTTCAGAACTGGAGTTTGGACGCCCGGTAAGTGAGGTTAGCCTTTACTATAAGATAAATAGGAGAATGTTGTTTGATTTATTTTAAAACGTACCTTTATTGGAAGAGAGAGGTTTCGTTTAGAGAACAAAAAAAAAAACTGAATGCACAATATATATACAAATGCGGTGGAACTTAGTCCACATTACTTCTGTACCAAAATGGCTAAGGCCCTCAGACACTTGCTGTATGGTTTTTCCAAATCATGCATCAGGATTATCTTGTATCTAATTAATTGCAAATGTAATATGCTGAAGATTTTTCTGTTCTGGAATATTTAGGCAATTATTACAGCTGTATGGATTTGTACTCATTTACAGTTCACTTTGATCTAGTTCAAACAAGACCATGTTGGCAATTATAATAATAATAACAACTATTGTGTAGATCCCATTTGCTGAGGAATCACCAAGTCCCTGGAGAGCTGGCTGTACTCATTAATCCATGAATCTTTCTGATGCCCCATAATAAGAAGAAAACAGGAACAGAAAGGTTAAAATTTTGCACAAAATACTAAATTGCAGAACCAGAAGTTAAAACCAGGCCTGTCAAACAACAGCAACTAAAAGTCTCTGGGTAGTGCCCACTCTAATATATGACCAGAATATGCTCACTATAAAATACCTACTGAAAGGAATGTGAGAAAAGAAAAAAATTAAGAAACCCTGTTAACCTTGATGTCCAGTGTTGCTAGTGAAATCTGCTGCTATGTTGCTATTCCCTAAACTCCCACCCAAGGATGCCCCCCCACCCTTGGGCTTTATAGGAATAGAGTTAGTTTAAGCTTTAAATAACTCCCTGTAGTAAATCAAGTTTTATTTGGGAAAAGTATTTTCCAACAGCAATGCATTTGATGTGTCAGTCACGTTTCATGAATTTTAAATTCTTAAAGAACATGCCAATTACACTGCCCAACAACTTTTATTAAAAATCAGAGATATGCTGGGCATGGTGGTGCATGCCTATAATCCCAGCAGCTTGGGAGGCTGAGGAAGGAGGATTGCAAGTTCAAAGGTAGCCTCAGCAACTTAGTGATGTCCTAAAGCAACTTAGCAAGGCACTATATATATATATATATATATATATATATATATATATATATATATATATATATATATATATATAATGGTTGGGGATGTAACTCAGTGTTCAAGTGCCCCTGGGTTTAATCCTTGGTAAAGAAAGAGAGAGAGAGAGAGAGAGAGAGAGAGAGAGAGAGAGAAAGAAAGAAAGAGAGAGAGAGAGAAAGAAGAGAGAGAGAAAGGAAGGAAGGAAGGAAGGAAGGGAGGGAGGGAGGGAGGGAGGAAGAGAGAGAGAGAGAAAAGAAAAATCAGAGTCTATGATCTTTTACCATATCATATGCTGATTTATATGCTTGTATATGCATCATAAATGGTTTATGGTAGACCCTTTGACCATTAAAATGCAAAGGAAACCTGATTAGATTTATTATATTGTATTGAACTGAATCAAATGTGACTGTAAATGAATATAAACCAAAGAACTTATCCTGAAATTTTTATTACTAATAGGAGAAATGTTTTCTCCATTTTTTTCATTTGTATCCTAACATTAATATTAATGTATTCTATTTAAGAAGAAAAAAGTTCTCGATCTTTGTTTTATATGTCTTGTTATTATTGCTTAGAGAGTTTAGAAGGATTATACCAACCTCTGTACTGAGCCTAAATTATCAGCATTTTCTACAGTCATTTTCTGCCACACAATTGAAACTTACCAGCATGCTAGCCACTCGTTCCTTTAATGTTTTTTTAATGAACCTTGCATTCCTCTGTGGCCAAACTAGGAATGCTAATTTTGATTTGATAAAATGAGTTTATAAATTTACTAATTGAACACTAGCAATTTTGCCCAATGCTTGAGAATATCTGTAAACATTGCACTCTTCCTGCTAGGCTACCCCATTTTGCTCCATTCATGTCACTCTTTATTTGTATCTGATGCTATCAGCACTCAATTTCTAACTGTTGTCACCTTTTCCACATGTTCATTCCTTGCTGCCATTGATTCTCCTCCATTCCATCTCTACACTTCTGCTTATGTGGTTCATCTACACCCCAGCCTCCTAAAAAGGCTCTGGATTATGTTCAAGATCATTCTTCTGGTGTTTCCAATGAGGTAAAAGGAAATTATTCTCTCTTTTTCAGATTTCTCCCTTAGAGCCTGTTACTGTGATTCTGAACACCCATGTTTTACAATTCACTGTAGTGCCTAAGCTAGTTTTGAAAAACCTATCTTTGTATCATTGTGCTGTATCTAGGATCATTGCCTAGACATTAATTATACTACAGACATTGGCTATTTCTAATTTCTACATGAAGAATCATTCCAGTCATAACTATCAGTTAAGCTGTTCAGCGCAAACTTGGTATTCAGCAGCATGAAAATAAAAAATCAAAATCATTGTCATATTAGTGCATATATTAACCACTGTTTTTCTTAGCCTGTGGAAAATAGAATTAGCAAACTTCTCAGAGCCACTTCATCATCATGCTTACAGAATTTAGATTCTTAAGTTTTCAGAAGCCTATGTACCACATTTGCCTAATATTTATTTTTTGATTCCTTCATTTTCCTAAATACTCAAAACTTATGGATTTTAGTATCAGTCAAGAATAGGGATGACAAATATGTGTTATGTGTGTTATAACTTACCAGTTTTATACCCTTGACAGACACCACTAATTCTCTCAACACTATAATCCAGGCAGACACTATAACAGATCATCCCAGGCACATAGATGAAATTGACTTGAAATATCTATTAAGAACACTTACAACAGTCAACTAGATGAAAAATTTAGGCCATGTAATGTAAATTTTTATTTGAAATAGGCAAAGAGATTATTGAAAAAAATAGAAAATATCTTTAGACAAAAGCATTTTTCCCTACTGTCTACAAAGAAAACAGAAAATTATTTTGGAAATCAAATAAAGGCCTTACTAGAAGACAGAAGGAAAAATGGCACTGCTTGGTAGCCAATGGCCGTATAAAAACCTCTGTGAGAACTCTTAGGAGTAGCTAGGTGAAAGCAAACAGAATAAACCAATTTTCACACAGTATTTGCTTTATGGTCTTAAGTGAATATAACACTTAATAAATATCTTATTTCTATTGAAATTTTAAATTAAATATGTGCAAATAAAAACAAAACTAATGTTGCAGGAGGTACTACTGACACATAGAGGTGATCACTGGAATTGCAGGCATAGAGTCTCAGAAGGAAATTCCCAATTTTCTAGAGCTTTAATTTGCAATCCAAAATTATTTTCCCCATAGAAGGCATCAGAGTGTGTGTCAAAGCAGGGGAGTGACCATGATATTTATATATCAAACCAAAAGTAAAATGGAATAATCAGGAACCTTCTGGATTACTGAATTCAGTTATTTTTTAAGGTTTATGTTTTGTAGCAGACATATACTCTAAAAACATCTAATAAAACAAGCAATTCTATTCTATATGCTATGTTACCTTTATGTATGATTAAAGGGTATCATTTCAACTTTTAAACAATTCAAGAATTGATTTTGAAATTCTATTTGGTCAGATATTTCTAGGCTAAGTATCATGTCCAGCTCACCCAGTTTTTAGTAAATAAAAGTAAAGTGCAACAATTTTGAGAAATATGTCCAAAAATCACCTGATAATATGGGGGGGGGGGACTACCACTGATCACTCAGACTTCATGTTAGTGCTCTTTCCTTTATACCACACTTTTTACCATTTCCAAGGGATATATATAAGAGCTCAATCCTTTTAGAAATAAATTTACTTAGTACAATTTTCATTAACTGTTGAATGTTTGTGAAATGAGTTCAAATAATTAACATTTCACAGTAGTTCCTGGACATAAAAATATTTAAAAATTTCATTTTATGCATTCTAAAATGTTATGATAATGGCAAAAAATCACTTAAAATTCAGTTTCTGTTCTTAAACTATTTGTCACTCTCTCTTTGGGATTGAGAGGAATGTTGATTGATTTTAGTAGCATATTAACTATGTTATCAATATAAGATCATGGTTTGTCAGAATGTAATAAAACACTCCAATAATGTATCTAGACTTTGTTTTTAATGCCATTTTGTATAACATTTCTAGTATATATATAAATTGATTTGATATTCATTACCTTAGCTACCATTTATCAAGAGTCTGGTATATGTCATGAATAAATCGTTTTTATTCTCCCAGTACTGGGGATTGAACCCGTGGCTGAAGTATGCTAGGCAAGTCAACAACCAAGCTACATCCCCAACGTTTTTTGTTTTGTTTTGTTTTGAGACAGGGTCTGCTAAATTGCTCAGACTGGCCTCAAACTTGCCATCCCTCTGCCTCAGCTTCCCAAGTAGCTGGGATTACAGGCATGTACCATTGTACCCAGCTAGCAACATACTTTTTAATCCTTAAATATAACTGAGAAACTAACATTGATGAAGAATTGTTACCAGATTTTAAACAAAGTTTAATCACATCATTCTTAACAGAAAGAAAGTTTCAATATCTACTCTTCATTAAAACGACCTTCTAGGTGTGATAAAATAATGACTATATGTAAACAATAGATCATAATAAGTCAAATGGATTGCTTTTTTCTGTATAGAATTTTTATTTCAGGACAGATATCATTCTTACAATTATGGGTACAAGTTTTTCTCTTAGTCACAGATGCTTTACCTTATAATGTGATACTGAACCTTCTCTGACTATACACAGAATCAAAAACTGGTTTTAGCTTATTTGAAAGTGAAAATCATCACAGGAAAAATAATTGCAGTTTTCTGCAATAATACTAGGTACAATCAATTTATCAGTTCTTACACTCTGTTTTATTTCACATTACAATAGTGTTTAGACTCATCATAAATTGGCATTCTAAAATTTATGATCTCTTCAGGGATGTTCAAAAGTGTTTTGAATTTGACCCCACTTGATGATCAACAGTGTATTATTGTGTCCCAAGAAAACCTTGATCCTCACAGATGACAGTATCCAGCAGCTCTGGTGTTACTCTTCTGCACACATGTAGAATTAATAGTTCTAAACTATAATATAACTATGTGGTTTTATTTTTTTTACTTGTTTGCTTGCTTTCTTATTTACTTTCTGTTTTTCTACCTTCCCAGTATCTGATTCAGAGTTCAGTAAATTAAAACAATCATGAAAACTTATCAGGCTAGTGTACCATATTTTCCTAATTTCGTATTTATTTAAAAACTAGGAATCAAAGCATTTTCTAGGAACTAAACATATTAGAATATAATTTTTTGGCCCAAAAGGAGAAAGAAATATTCTCTGGTCAAGAAACATTTTTATTTGTCTCTAGGTAAAATTCCATTCTCTTTCAATGAAATAAAATTAAATTAATATATCAGTTACAAAAGCAACTTTATAGTTACTTATAAGGGGACTTGTCAGATTGACCTACATAAACAATTGTACAGTTAAATATTAATATTTCAATTGACTAATTGATGTTAATTTCCCAATTAACAGAAAACAGAGTTATAGAAATTATTTGTTAAGTGGGGTTAACATGTGTAGGTCTTCAATATTCTGGTAAAATATTTTCATGTAATAGGAATTTAAAATTAAAATTTTCAAATCTTACCTTTCTGGCTAACATTTTAAAATTTCCATATAGACAAAAATTTCAAATTAGAATTTCAGTTTTTTCATCAAACTAAACTAAAATTTGTCTGATCATAAATAGCATTTACTATGACCAAAGTCATATAAATGTGTTATACATTTCCCTATGCATGCTACACATTGTCACCCTCAGTCCCATCTTGTACTGTCACCTCCAAGATTTGGGAGCTCAATACTAATCCTCTCTTGCCTTTCAGATAGTTCAACAATAATCACAATGGGTGGCCATGGAAAATGGGAACTTAATAATCTATCATTTTTGCTTAGTATCAATTTTATTGTACTCTACAGAATAAACTTTTTAAAAAGTTATATTTTGATTCATTAGATCATTTATTTTAAACTAACACTGAACTTACTTAGATCTGTACCTGACTGAAATTCCAGGTAGTTTAGTTTAATTTCAAATCAAATACTGTGGATTTCATTGAAATGTCAGATCTTTGTTGACAGAGGAAAGATATCTCAAGTTCTGCTTGATGACAACAACAAAATTATAAAGAATGCTTACACTGTGTAAAAATCGAATAATGACTGCAAATATATTTTTAAACATAGTAGACATTTTCTACTTACAGTCAATCAGTAGGCAGCTTTCTGAACTTAATATTACAGAATAACTTTAGCTCTTTATTCAGTTCAGCATTCCTGAGGAAATATTATTGATTCTTCTTTTTCCCCATGTAATGAACACTTGGGCTGTAGATAACTTGAAATTACAACAAGAAATGCAATACACTTTCTCAGAAGAGAAAGTATATACGAAAAGTGAAGCTCAGGTTGCATGACTTCTATTTGGGAAGACATTTTTATTCTCCTTATAAATGGTACTTTTAATCTCAATATTTGTAATACTCTTTTTAAATTACCTAATTTAATGTTGACAGACAAATGAAATTTGCCATGGTAATGATTGTCATGAAGCTATTCTTCTATTTTAACAGGCCTCCATATACCAGTCTATAGACAGAAGCCTGGAAAGGCCTGCTAGGTAAGAATCCCATGACATTGACAACCAGAATATTCTATGCCAGTGGTTTCTTTTTCAATGGTAATTATGTATTATTTGCTCTTATTTTAAGTACCATCTCATGAATTTAATTTTGGCATCAGTTTTATATGATCATATTCAAGAATTTATAAAATTTAAGTGAAATAATTCTGGATTCCTTCACAGATTGATATATTCTTCCCTTCCCTATCTCAGCCCGCTTTTCTTTCCTTTTCATAAGTATTATACATAACTCATTTTTAATGTTGTTAAGCAATATTTATGATAATTATTTTAAAAATTTATAAATTAGTAACTTACATACATATTTGTTAATTATACTGACCACACAAATCAGAAATTCTTTTACTAACAATACATGAAGGCTTACTGTATACTTGGCATTGTAAGTACCTAAACATATTCAATCAAAAGACAACACTGCGAGTTAAATACTGTTGTCTCCGCTATATCTCTGAAGAAACTAATACTTCGGTTTAGTAACTTGCCAAGTTTACACAGCTGGAAAGGAGAGAAACAAAATAAAAAGCCTTCAGAGTCAGTCCAAAAGAAGTTCTAATAAGTAGGCTTCAAATATCACACTTACTTAAAAATCTTGATGAAATTCAGTCATAGTTCAATAGCAACATTGAATATTACCAACTCCCAGCTATATTGTATCATCAACAAATAACTTTCTTTTGCTCTTCTGTAATTTTTATCAATTTAAGTAGAAAGCTCATCCAGCTACATTAATAGCACAAAGAAAGGAGCATCCAACTTCTCCTTTTATCTTTTGTATCTATATATTCACCCAAAATGTTTTAAATGTTTGAATTTTAAAGTTTTAATCTGTCCTAAGGATTGCTCTAAAGATACAGACCCTCACATGGCAGGATAGTCACAGCAAAAATATGTGTAGGAGATGGAGCCTCCTCATTAGAAAGAATGCAAATTCTGAAGTCTATTTCTGTACTTCCCAGGTGTGTGTTTGGTTTGCTCATTTATATATGTGGGGTGTACATATCAATCCCTCATAGGTTACTGGGTGGGCTAAATAAGATAAAAATGTAAATAAAGCACATAGCATCTTACTGAGCTCCATAGGAGCTATATCCAATGCTGTCACTGTTTACATAACTCTCTCCAGTGATTTGACAGACAGCATGCTGTATGATGGAGCCTGTCAATCACTAATATTCTTCTCAGACTCACAACCACAATAAAAACTCCTTGCTGTAATAGAGCATTCTATACAACTCGGTGGAAGGAATTCTTAATAGTTAATTTTCTGGAAAAATTATTGGTCTTTCATTATTTGCATATGTAATGTTGGAATTCCTGTATTAGGTCTTCCAAAGCTAAGATTATTAGGAAAGCCTGCAGGCAATCCTTGAGGTAAAAGAAACTAATTTTGCTAGACATCTTCCTTTATTTCAGTCCTTTCCTTTGTTTTTGCCCACCCACCCCCACCCCCCATTTGGATCTGTTCATGCTGTTGGAACTCACTAGAGAAAAGATACATTATACGTATCATAACACTGAATTTCCAGTATTGACAAAATGTTCACCATAGGAGAATTTTTATTTTAAAAGGTGATTATAAATATATGCTCACACAAAGAAACTTGTGTATGAATGCCTATAAGCAGTCTTACTCATAATTACCAAAATTTGGTGAATGGGAAATGGTGGTACATCCATATAATGGAATATTATTCAGCCATAAAATAAATAAGCTATCAAGTGACACAAAGACATGGAAGAAACTTAGAAGTATGCTACTAAGTGAAAGAAGCCAATCTAAAAGACCAAATACTGTATGATTCCTACTGTGATATCCTGGAAAGGGCAAAATATGGAGATCATATAAAGATCTGACATCGTCAGGGGGCAGGAAGAGGAAGGGATGGATGCACAGGGGATTTTTATGGCAATAAAACTATTCTAAACTATTCTATGTGATACATTGTGAGGGACAGATATCATTATGCATTTTTTAAAAAAAATCCACAGAACATATAATCAGATGCAGCAGGAACCCTAATGTAAACTGGAGACTTTCAGTGATGAAATGTCAGGATAGGTTCATCAGTTGTAACAAATACCATAGAAGAGGTAAATAAAAACAGAAACTGGAGTGAGTATAAAGAATTCTCTATACACTGTGTTTCAGTGTCTGCAAAGGATTGGCTTGAGAACACTCCCCCATCCTCTGCCAAGGATATCATAATCTGCAGATGCCCAAGTATCTGATGTAAATGGGCATAGTATTTGCATATAATCTATGCACGTCTTCCCAGAAACTTTATATTATCTCAATCATTTACAGTGTAGATGCTGTACAAATATTTGATATATTGTATTGCTTGGGATAAAAAAAAAGTATACATGTTAAATACAAATGCAATTTTTAAAATTCTCTCCCATCTATGGTTGGTTGAATCTGTGGATGAAGAACCCACAGAATGGAAGTCCTGTACATTCCAGTGATTTTTTTTCCCTGTAAGCCTGAAGCTGCTCTTAAAAAAAAAAAAAAAAAAAAAAAAAAAAAAAAAAAAAGTCTTTAAATGTTCTAAAACATGTATTTTTTTAACATATGCTGTGTGTTATATATTCTTGGGGTTTTAAAATGTGTAACGATATATATCACTACTATGTCATAGAGAATAGTTTAGAATAGTTTTTATTGCCAAAAAAATTCCCAGGGCAGCACCCTTTCTTCCATCCCTTCCTCCGCCCAGCTCCTAACACCACTGATCTTTTTATTGTCCCCACATTTTACCCTTTCCAGAATATCACAGTTGGAATAAATGTCTTAAAAAGATGATTCTAAATAAATCATTTTAAATGTCAAGGAATGAGATCCTCACCATGCTGTTTTGGGGTACAGATTTAAGGGTTATATACCATCTTCTCTAGCACATCACATGGGCCTTTGTGGTGCATGTGCTAACTTCCACTGGGACCAGTCAAACTGATGTGATTACTTCTTTCAGTTCTGCAAGCATGGCCAGCGACTTCAGGAAACGGAGGAAGAGTGAGCCTGCAGTGGGTCCACCCAGGAGCTTGGGGGAGCAAAGTGCAAGCAGGACCAGCCCTGGTCGGGCAGACCTCCCAGGATCCAATGCCACCCTTACAAAGTCTTTCATTAGCTCTTCTCCTTCCTCCCCCTCAAGAGCAAAAGGTGAGCAACGATAAAGGAATGCACAAAAATGAACTAGTTAAAGTTTTGACCTAGACTGACAGTGAGAGCCAGTCAGTGAGAGTGATATGTGCTACCTTTTACCTACAGTGTCATAAGTGAAGTACAGTTTCAGAACAATGGCTTTCTTCCTTCCCAGACTGACTCAAGCTGGCCAGCCACTTGGGTTCACTTAAAGGACTCAGATAGCTTCTTTTCATGCTTTTCCCCCAATATAGATATATTTTTATGAAACACATACAAAGTATCAAATAATTTGTTTGGGGGCTTATAAAGATGAAAGATGATATTTATAAGCATTAATATATAGTAAAAATTTCTAATGTTACTCTACCTAGCAAATCAATCACATTTATGAACTAATAGTTACAAACAGCAACAGAGAAAATTATTCCCTAAAAACATACATTTAAAAAAAAAATCTTTAAGTAAAAAAATGCTTACTCTATTAAAGTTGTTTTTTTTAACCATTATCTCTTTATTTTGGCCAATCTTCATATATATAGTAGAGCATCCACATTCTACTGTGCAACACGGTGTTCAATTCACCTTGCAATGAGAACTGACTGGTTTTGAGCCATTATCTTAAACTTGAGAAATCAATAAGCCATTTTTCCAGATGGCCTCTATCCTCTTTGGAAAGGTAGTGAGCTAAGTATTAGAAGGGAAGAAGTCATGCTTAAGGTCCCTGGAAGGTCATTTAGTGCATCATTGCCTCTGGGACAGAAATATTTCTAAGACAGAGAGTGAGGATTGAATGAGCTCCCCTATGTCCCTCTGAACCTTCAGCTATAACCAAATCTGGAGCTGTTGGACTCTCCTCCAGTATCTTGGAGCTGACAAGAGACAAGCACTTTAAGATGTGTGAAGAAAATGAGCTCTAACAGAAATTTCTATAAAATAGATTCAGCCACGTCACCAATTGTAGGCACTACAGCCAGTGCCACATTTAGAGCTGATCAGTAGCTGTGGAGATGGCTGCCCTGTGCACAGCGGGGACCCAAGCCTTCCAAGGCCTAGTGAAGTTGTGAGTAGGACCCAGCTGTTCCAGGAGAATGAGCCCCATTCCTTGTACCTTTACTCAGATAAGTAGATGTGCCTTTACCAGATTCTACTCATTTGTGCAAACAAATATCTTAAGGTAACAAGTAGGTTATGAAATGCACTGATTCATTATTCTTGGATACTATCCAGAACGTTAAAAGGTTTCTGATGAATTTAAATATTTGTTTAATAGTAGGGAGTGTTAAATTAACTTCCTTTCCCAAATACTACATATCTACTTAATGTGCTTATCTACTTTTAAAGAACTTGGGGAAGATCATAAGTCATGATTTGTTAATATTTTCCTGTACTAGGTTTTATTTCTAAAAACAAAACATCCTTAGATGTAATTTTGCCTCTTGTTTATTAGCTAATTTGGCAAAGAAAAAGAAAAGAATATTTCCATAGTTGTTCCAAACTGAGATCAGGTTTAGCTTTCTCTTATCAAATTTCAAACAATAAAAAAAAACCTCCCCCAGAAAAGAAGCATGATATAATTAATGAAAGTTTTACATTATATCCAGTTATCTTTATGAGAACAATGTGTCTAATAGGAGATTGAAGGTTAGCAATTAAAGAGATAAATTACTTTATCTAAAGAGTCTCTCACTATTTTTTTTCCTTGGAAAAAAATTGCTAACAATAGTTCACAGCATTTTTATTTTTTTTACTTTGGAAAATAATGTTTTCTATCCAAATGCTCATAAAAATTGTTTATAAGAGTTAAGAGAATATCAATTAATGTAAATTATAAATCACTTCTTACCCTATTGTAAATTATGAACCTCAAATCCTGTCCCTCTTAAATTGATTAAGTTCACAACAACTTGGCCATCAGTTGTTAATCCTCGAAGTTACTACTATCAGGTCATGCTATTAGCTTAAGAGATAGAACTGTATTTTTGGCATACCCTTTGGCAGAAAGATATATTCATTAAGAAATAGAAATGGGTGTATATACTACATCAGTTACTTGTTACACATGGTTTAAATGGCTCTAAAATTTGCAAAGCTGAATTCATTGAAAAGGTATTATTTTGCCTTAGGCTTTTTTTTCTCTAAAGTTGAAGCTACATGTGTTAACAGTCACTGTCTAAGATAAACCACACTAACTGCTTTCTCTTTGCTGTGCTCTCTGATACTGACCTCCTCTCTTTGTGAACTTTTTAACTTCTCCAAATGTCTCTCTCCTGCCACGCTGCTCTGGATTAAAAGGTGGGGATGATAGCAAAATGTGTCCGTCCCTTTGCAGTTACTCAGGGATCAACGGCACCCCTTCCCCTGAGTTAGAGTACTGTAGCACTTATAGACAGCATTTGGACGTCCCACGGGACTCACAAAGGGCCATCACTTTCAAGAATGGCTGGCAGATGGCCCGGCAAAATGCCGAGATCTGGAGCAGCACTGAAGAAACAGTTTCCCCCAAAATCAAATCCCGTAGCTGTGATGATCTCCTCAATGATGACTGCGATAGCTTCCCAGACCCCCAAACCAAGTCGGAAAGTATGGGCTCCTTGTTATGTGAAGAGGACTCCAAAGAGAGCTGCCCCATGACTTGGGCTTCCCCTTACATCCAGGAGGTTCGAGGTAATGGCAGATCAAGAATCAGACACAGGGCAGCCCACAATGCCCCAGGGTTCCTAAAAATGTACAAGAAGATGCACCGCATTAACCGCAAGGATTTGATGAATTCAGAGGTCATTTGCTCTGTGAAGTCGAGAATAATGCAGTACGAAAAGGAACAGCAACACAAGGGCTTACTCCATGGATGGAGCCAGTCCTCCACCGAGGAGGTGCCCAGGGACATGGTACCCACCCGCATTTCGGAATTTGAAAAGTTGATTCAAAAATCAAAATCCATGCCAAATTTAGGAGATGAAATGTTATCTCCCGTCACCCTAGAACCACAGCAAAATGGTCTGTGTCCCAAGAGGCGATTTTCCATCGAGTCTTTGCTGGAGGAAGAAAATCAAAGCAGACACCCTTCTCAGGTGCAACGGAGCTACCAGTCTAAAACCCTGGTGCCAATCCACATCGAAGTCACCAGCGAGGAGCAACCGAGAGCCCATGTGGAATTTTCCGACAGTGACCAAGATGGAGTAGTGTCTGACCACAGTGACTATATTCATGTAGAAGGGTCATCCTTCTGCAGCGAAAGTGATTTCGATCACTTTTCGTTCACATCCTCTGAAAGTTTCTACGGCTCCAGCCACCATCGCCACCACCATCACCACCACCACCATCACAGGCACCTCATCAGTTCCTGCAAAGGCCGATGCCCCGCGTCCTACACGAGATTTACCACAATGTTAAAACACGAAAGAGCCAAACATGAAAACATCGAGCAGCCCAGGAGACAAGAAATGGACCCTGGCCTGTCTAAACTTGCATTTCTAGTCAGCCCTGTGCCTTTCCGGAGGAAAAAGAATATGACTCCCAAAAAACAGACTGAAAAAACAAAATGTAAGGCTTCTGTATTCGAGGCTCTGGACTCCGCCCTTCAAGACATCTGTGACCAAATCAAAGCTGAGAAGAGGAGAGGAAGTTTGCCAGACAACAGTATATTGCACCGTCTTATCAGTGAGCTGCTGCCAGATATTCCTGAAAGGAATTCATCACTCCGAGCTCTGAAAAGGAGCCCCACGCACCAGCCTTTCCACCCACTGCCTCAAGATGGTGCTATTCATTGTCCCCTGTACCAGAACGATTGTAGGAGAATGCCTCACAGTGCCTCTTTCCCAGATGTGGACATCACCAACAGCTACCACCAGGACCCCGAGAGTGCACTGAGTCTCCAAGGTGGAGGAACTTTTCTTGGGTTTTCCCCTGTGGTTCAGATACTCACCTCCAGCTCTTCCATCCATTCGTCCATCCCATCGTTCCCGAGCTGTGAGAGGGACCGCTTGCATCGTTGTGTGTTGTGACGCAAATGTGTGTTGTGCAGACCTGTCTCACTGAATCTCTCTCATGTGCCCATAGTTACATTGAACTTCATGTGTGGCTTAAAGTGATCATCAGTTCACAAAAATTTACTCAGGAGCCAAAGCAAATCCACATTGTAGCTTAGCACAAGGCTTCCAACAACTGTTACATTGGGATGACAAATTAAGCGATTTACTTAATTAAAAGGAATACTTCAGGGCAGAAACTATCATTGAATATCAGTATCCTTCAGAGATCTCTTTTCTCTGTAAAATGAATCAAAACCAATAGTTTAATAAATAGCCTTTTATCATTTCTTATATTATTTTTAAAATTTTAAGGCATTCACAAATAATTTGCTCACTTTCTGTATAGAAGTATTATGTGAAAGCATTCAGAAAGCAAAACTGAAGGTATGAATAGTAATTGGTAGACATCTAAAGAGATTAGGATTATTTAATAATTTTCTCCCTTGAAAGGGCACAATTAGGATGAAATTTTTGTGAATGTATCTTTAAGCTGTATATCTAAATGTCCTATTTCCATCGATCAGTGTATTCATTTTCTTTTCCATTACTTTATTTATTTTTCATTAATTTACTTACTTTTGCTATAACAAAATTTGAATTAGACTAGGTTAAAAGTGACTCAACTCCCTTTACATAGATAACTTTAAAGTGGCAACACAAGGACAAATAGCAATTCAAATGCAGACTTTTTGAAGTTTACATAACTTAAAAGCACAGGGTGTTTTTAATATTTGTATCAAATTCTTTTTTTAAATTTTAAAGTACATCTGCTTACTATGTAAATTTTAAGAGACTAGAGTGAACATTTCAGGCTGAAACTTTGGATGTCAATAGAGAACTTTGTATACACTAGGTACTACAAAGTGCTGCACATACAAAACCTAGTTAAAACTGGCACAAACCAATGGGATAGGTGTTGTCAAAACCATTATTTTACAGTTGAGGAAACTGAAGCCCAGAGAAGGCAAGCAGCTTGCCCAAGTTTACACAGATGTGGAGTTAACAGAAAGGGGACTCAAACTCCTAATATCCAGGAGTTCATAATAGAAAATATAATTTCCATAGTCAAAAAGCACATAATTTAAGTTTCACATTGATGTAACTGATGTAGCTTGTTAGTTATTATACCACAAATTTATTTACTTTACTATTTATCTTTTTTTCATTCATATTATACAGCATGCTTCTAAAACAATAAATAGGAATTTTTAAAATCAGTTTTTACAGTTTGAAATTTTCCAAGAATTGTTCTAATTTTTTTAATAAATTAGTTAATCTCTAGTTTTCTAATATTCTGATGTAATTATCTTTCAATATTTTTGTGCAGATACATTATTGAAACACAATTTGACAGAGCTTTGAGATACATATTATTACTTATTTGTTCTTTAATGAAATAGTCACTTTACAATTATGTTTAGGCCAAGCAAGAAATAGTTTATATTCCATGGGTTGTAAAGTTAAATTTTGAATTTATAATCATGAAAGTGTCATGTTAATAAAAGTATGTTAGCTTACAATATAAAATATACTCCACATAATCTTGTTGTATAAATGAAAATAACTAGTTAAGTTATACCTGAAATATTTGTGGCCGCATCACCTTTCTAAAACTAAAAACTTTGGAACTTACAACTCAGAATTTATCCTCATCCATCATGCAACTGACACCATTTGTAGGAATTTAATTCTTCTATATAGTCTAAGTAGCTGAATCCTCCAAACAATGTTTTCTTCTTATGGGTCTGCAGTTTAACTTATTTCACAAAAGGATAAAATAAATTTTATTTTTAATGCTTCTTGTGAGTTAATATAACTAAAATTAGTAAAGGAACAAGAAAAAGAACTGACAACTTTTGACCCAGTTAACACTGGTAAAATTCTATGAACAGACTACTGGAACACTTTCAACCTTTAGTTACATTTCCACATATAAGTCACATAAATGTGTAAGGTATAAGAAAATATTAAGGAACATTTGCAGTCTTAATTTTGTAATGCAATTATTTATACTTTGCTAAGGTGAACAAAACCCCTCAATATTTCATAAGCAATTTGATAACTAATATGAGTTCACTTATCCCTTTTGTAATTTATCAGCTGAGCCCAAAGAAAGGTATAAATAAAGAAAATGACATAAGACTCAAGTATTTAAAAACAGAGGAAGAGAGAAGGGACATTACTATATCTTGTCATCAACATACTTTCTTTGATTTTATATCTTTTTCATTTCTGCCTTCTTAAAATGTTGTTCCCCAAAATGTTTCTGTTTCCACAAATTGTTGTTACTTTCAAATACTCCAGCCACTGTAGACCTTATGATGTTAATTATAGATCGGCAGCAAAGAGAATAGAAATAGTAAGTATTAAAAATTTTTTGATATGGAAAATTTCTATAATTATGAATCACCTACACCAGGTGCTACAGTATAATTAATCAGCAATGTCAAAATTTTATTTACATATTTATGATTATAATAACCCTGCTACCTCAAATATTATTCCTTTTGAAATGTTCTTGTTTTGGGGTATCTTATATTACAACTTTCTATTTACCAAATTTGGGGGCAATTATAGTTGGCATGTGGGAAAATGGGTGAAAAGTCAACTTTTAATGAAGTGGATACTCACTCTGACCGGTCCTGTCCTTTCCAATAGACCGCGAGTCTCCCAGAAGTTACTCATCCACTTTGACTGACTTGGGGAGAAGTACGCCAAGAGAAAGAAGAGCAACTCCAGAAAAAGAGGTAGTTGGTGAATTAGCGCTGTAGTCTCTTCTCCCATGACCTACTTGATAAAGCACTTGCCAGCCACACTTACATCCAAAACCAATAAAGAACTCAGACTGAATCATGAAAATAACAAACTAGAAAGTTTTCCTGGGAGCCTGAAATAAGACTACAACAGTTTGCATTCTGACCCTAGCTGCAGTTCTTCCCTGGTTGTGACCAGCTTTGGCAGTGAGGCCTCCCTGGGTCTTGAGCTGACACTCATAAAGTAACAGTTGAGGTCTGAAAGAGCCCTGAACTGAGCTGCCTTGTGGAATGAGGGGGTTTCCTATGCACCATTTCCTGGCCTACTAGATCTAGGAGGCAGCCCTAGGTCAGCTGTGTTGCAAATCAATAATGACCACATAAATCATTCTTTGCTGGCTTACTTTGTTGGAGAGGATCCCTGTTGGGGAGGGGGGGACAAATGAAAAAAAAAAAAAAAACCCTTAATCAACTAGTTCTAATGACACTGCTCTTGGGAACAATGTACCAACTGATTCTTTGTCCATGGCTCAGCCAGGGCTAGAGCTCTTGCTCCTAACTGCCCTGGAGACAGGTGGACTTGATGGAAACTGAAAGCTGGTCTTAGACTGGCAGCCACTGCAGAACTTACAAATATCTGATATAGTCCAGCACTGTGAATCCTTGTGAAGTCAGGAATTGCCTGAGTTTCCTGAAGTTTGTTAGAATCACAGGGAAAGAGAATAGAAGGAAAGGATTATTGGTTACTGGGGAAGAAGCCAGTGTTGCTAATGATACGGTACAGGATGACTCAGGTAGATTCCAGGGGTCCAAAGTTTCAGGCTGGGCACAGGTCAGAGCACATCATGACTAAAAGATGAACAGCTGGTTGAGTGTGCTGAAGGATTCCTGAACCCTTCTGGAGACACAGGATGATTGTGACTCTACTTTCAACCACTAACTAACCTCTCCATGATAATTGGGCTAATATTTCTTGGCTAACATGTTAATTAGCAGTAAAAGGGGTGATGACTTCCTTCATGTCTTTTGGTCCTTTTATTATGATTCAAAGTTTCTTCAGTCCATAGTGACCTGCCACAGTGATCCCAGGAAAAACCTTTGCAATAGCTAAAGTTACACCTAGGTCAGGATCTTCTGTGGGCGTCTTATTATCCTATTATCACATTAATTTACCATAGTTCCTAATTTGAAATAAGACAGTGAAGAGGCCAGCTATTATATTGCTCTTATAACTTAAATCTAAATGCAGAACTAATGGATTTATTTGTAAATTGCATATAGGATGTACATCACATATGTTTAATCATTCCTTGAGGTTTTATATTGCATGTGAAACTATTCTCTTACAGGAAATCCGAATTTTTAAGTTGGTGCTAACTGTTTACCATTCTTTTCAGAAATTGCCTGCTAAAGCTGTTTATGATTTTAAGGCTCAGACATCTAAGTAAGTCAAATAAGTGTTCTTCGTATGATTTAAGTTGTCTTTAATTTATGCTAGTAAGAGATAAATGTTGAAATGGGATGTGAAACAAGCAAGACCTGATTCCCATTTCCAAAATCCACTAATTAATTGGTTCCTTCAGAATTATTAATTGCATTGTAATTTTCCTATGATTTATATCATTTCAAAAGCATTTCTTAAGTTATAAGTGAAGTCCGGGAATTTGCAAAGAAAATCCTCACCTAACAGAGCTTGACAGATTTTTTACACCTGGGAATTTTATTTACAAAATACAGATCTAATGAGGGTGTGGGTCTTAAGAATAATTGCTGTGCATCAAGGAAAAGACCATTTAAACATCTCTCTTCCAGGGAGTTGTCATTTAAGAAAGGAGATACTGTCTACATCCTCAGGAAAATTGATCAAAATTGGTATGAGGGAGAGCACCATGGAAGAGTGGGCATTTTTCCAATCTCATACGTGGAGGTGGGTCCTTCTCCCTTCCCTCCTTGAGGGTAGAGGTTTCACCGGTCACCATAAATTCAGGAATAAATTACTCTTTTTCTTTATAGAAACTCATACCTCCTGAAAAAGCACAGCCTGCAAGACCACCACCCCCAGCCCAGCCAGGAGAGATTGGAGAAGCTATAGCCAAATACAATTTCAATGCAGACACCAACGTGGAGCTCTCACTGAGAAAGGTAACCCAGATATTTTCTTTATAGGAGCCTTGGCAAAGATTGTATATTCTTAAAACTGAAATAGGTTATTTTCTTCCTTAGATATTTTTGTGTTGTCTCCATTTTCTGTAAGAAATTCTTGAGACGGCCTAGAGTCAGTGTCCTTCCAGAGGCACCACCCTGTAGGATACAGAACTCTCATATTCCTTCTGTGACTTAGTCTGGGAAGCAGGGACCCAAATCCTCTTCAGGGGGTGGGTGCATCTCTGAATATCAAGAAGTTATACATGCAGGACTTCAAAAGGAGAAAGCACTCTAATACACATCAAAATATTCTGTCACCTTATTATTCAATTTTTTAAATGTGTCCAATACTTATTTTTCTCCATCTTCAAATCGAGGATGACCCTCAAGATCCTTCCTTTCTGGGAGAAACTCTTTTTCAAGAGTCATCTCTGGGGTTAGGGTTGTGGCTCAGGGGTAGAATGCTTGCCTAGCTAGCACACGTGAGGCACTGGTTCAATCCTCAGCACCACATTTAAAAAAAAAATGAAGAGCCATCTATGCTTCTTTGACATGCTTCCTTGACATCTTCTCTGGGCCTGATCCAAATTTCTCTAGCAACCTACCAATACTGAAGTCTCTTCTTAACATTATCTCTTTTCACTTGCCACTCCACATAGTTGAGAATGTTAAATGAACTATTTTTATTATTTGCTGGACAATGACATACATGTGTTTGAGGTGACCACTTCTTCATACAATACAGAGAAATAGTAGTATTAATCAGAATGGTCTGGAACCTCCCAGGCCTGCTGGGTGGAATCCTGCTCCAGATGCAATGAAGTTCTGGGCCTGGGAGAACCTCATTTCATTCTCTCATTTCAGTCCTAATTCTGCATCATCAGCTGATTCTCTGCTAGCCTCCCAGCATTACATGTACTGTATTATCTTCAGTTTCTTATTTTAAAAAAAGGCTTTCTAAGTACATCTCATAGCTCACATGATAGCCTGGTGACTGCGTGTTCTTGATGTATTAGAAAATCAGGGCAATATTAAGACTTGGGGAGATTCATTTTTCATCATTAAGTTCTACTCATTGATGGTAGGACATGTTAAATAAACCATCCAGCACTTTGACAAAAAGAGAACCTTTAATTACGTAGCACTTGAAGTATGGCTTCCTACTGTCCTGAAGCTATTTAACCAATGTCACTTCCACCACTCTTTCAGATGCAGTTGTCTAAACTTCTGTATGTGCAGATGCAGGTTTGTGGCTTAACAGTAGCCTGCCTACTTAGTTCTGGGCCATGTGTGGTTTTGAGACAAAATTTAAATTAGGATCGATGGCATTGGCTTGGTCACTGCAGGAAGAGCAATCATGAATGTAGACAGTTCTATCACTGCACAAGCCAAAGACTCTATTCAAATATTTAAGGCCCAGTATGGCGTGGCCACCAGTCAGAAAGGATGCTGGCATGACACAGTCCTGACACAGCCGGGTGATTTCAGTCCTGGCCACAGCTGTGGATATTCTAGGGTTCTCTCTTTGCCCCTGTCTTTTGCATTCACTCTTTGTCCCTACTTAGGACACATAGAGTAAAGAAGAAAAATGGTGTGCTATTCTACTTTATCCCTTCCTGAGGACAATTTCTGCAACCCATTCCAGACATACTTTCTGAAACTTTTCCTGAAGAAGCTCATTCCTTTGAATTTGACAAAGATAGCATGCTGCTACTGTCATTAAAACATTACCTTTAAATTAGTCTGCTTTTTGAAATAACTCATTGCACACAGTACCAGTATGAAACATATATAAGCGTATCCACAACCACCAAGCATCCTTAGGGAAGATTCTAAGTTATGAATGGATGGTTTAGTTGCATGAATGTCAATAATTTGTTTTTTTCTAGTAAGACCTTTCTTGCATTCCCCTAATTAAGCAAAACCTAGAAGTTTAAAACTTTCCCAAGTGTAAAACTTGTTAATTAAGAAACAATAGCAGTTATGCATTTAATATTTTTGCGTGTCTATTTATAATGCATTTTCTTAATGTTCATTACAGGGAGATAGAATTATTCTTCTTAAAAGAGTTGATCAAAACTGGTATGAAGGTAAAATTCCAGGAACCAACAGACAAGGCATCTTCCCTGTTTCCTATGTAGAAGTCATCAAGAAGAATACAAAAGGTGCTGCGGAATACCCTGACCCTCCAATACCCCACAGCTATTCTAGTGATAGAATCCACAGCTTAAGTTCCAATAAGGTAAGAAGATATTCTGTCATATGAATGAATATTCGGTCATTTTAAATTTGGGAGCTGGGAGTAAGATAACTAGTATGTGATTTTAGGACATTAGATCAGACTATCACATCCATTGCAAAGATGGGATTTATGTACTCTGATTCCACACATGTGAGTGCCATTTAATCTTTCTCAAATAGGTGCTAGCATAAAGGGTTAATGCTTGCTTTTTGCTAATTTTGTTTTCAAGTTAAAATGTTGAAAGAGAAAACATTAGTATCATAAAACCTTGTATGATATTTATCTATATTTCTTATATATATTCTTAAACTTTATTTTTTCTGAAGTTTGATTTTATATAAATATAAATTTTGTATCATATGATACATTATTTTATATGCAGATACAATTACAATTTATATATATAAATATTTATTAACATATACAACATAAAATTCCATGTATATCCCAAGATGGTGTATCTCAAGAACATATGGTTATTAGATTGACAAAAATCTCATTCAAATCTTTATAGAAAAAGAACGAAGTAATTCTTTTAAAAATTAGAGACTGTAATTTGGCTTATTAGTTTGAATAAAAATGTTGTAGATTATTAGAAGTCTTCAAATTTATTCATTAGTTTGGGGGCAAGTATATGCCAATTCTACTATTTCCTTTGAGCTAGTAGCTGAAGATTATTATCTATCTCCATATGCAATTTATTTTTTTAGTTTCTCTTTTAGTTGTACATACTTTTAGGGTTCATTTTGACACAATTATATGAGTGTGGAATATCAATATGCAATTTAAAAGAGACTCTACTTCCTGAATTCGTTAACAAGTAAAAGCTGTCCTCCTACTGTCTTTACTCACAATGTGAATTTTTTTCTTATTTTTCTGTTGAAATATAATGTATTCTTCTTTATGGATGGTAATTTGGGGTTTCTTTCTCCTTTTAATTGACTTCAAAATATAAACTTTTCAATTGCCAAAGAATTGTTTCCAAAATACTGTTAAATACTTGCCAACATTTTCAAAAATTATTGTTACATAATTTATTGTTTTGCTTGAGATCAAGGCTAGGATGTAGAAAAGTAAACCATCTAGAGTTAGCAAAATAAAACAGCATATCAGCCATTATGAAATCGTGAAGTATATGCAATGCAGGATCATTTCAAGGTCATGTCCCCAGAAACTTAAACTACTCCTGAAAAAAGAGACTTAGGAGAATTTTAAATAAGTAAGTGATAGAATGTGTTCTTAAGAAACACCTTCTTTTAAAGGTCTAAAGGTAGGCATTTTACTCATGGTAATCCCCTTTAAAGATTGGGTTTCAGTTGTGGGTAATTACTCTCAATTCTATGTTCTTGGACAATAGTATAGCTTGGTACTATCCAGTTTTGTTTGATTGTGAGGTTTTCCAGAATCTTCCTGAGTATATTTATTTTACCACTTAGGACTTAGCATTTAGAGATCAACATTCTTACTTCAGTAGTTCTTACTGATAAAGAGAAAAGATAAGAATCTCTATTCAAATATTTGCCTTATCCACCATCAGTGAATTTAACAAAACTGCCAGATAAATCGCAAGCAATTGTACTTTTAAATAAAATTGTATAAGGAAGAAAATCATGTACCTATACAGGCCTATTTAAAATTAAAGAACTTCCATGTCCCCTAATTAATGATAACAATATAATATTTTAGATTATAATGTTTTAATCTTTGTGAATATGATTTAAATTGGTATTTTCCATTTTTTCTATAATACCAAGTTTTAAATAGAGGAGTACACAAATTTCATTAATAACTAATTAGTTTATTCTCATTGCTGGGAACAAAAACATTGAAAGTTTATGTCCATAATTTGAAAGAAATACTTACTGGTTTCATTTCAACTGGGGATCCATGCTATGATATTACTGGCTTTATGGAGGAAAATTCCCAATAGCGTTGCACTGAGTTATTTTCAGGAAGAGAAATGTTAGATATTTTCAAATGATGAGACTCAAAGTAATGTCACATCTTTTATTTTCTAACTGATATTTGCAAATAGGAGCTCATTAATGATTTTCAAATCACCCTTTGACAATTTTAAATGATGTTTCTTGACATAGTATCTCTACCTTAGGGGAGACTCAAATGTAAGTTGATATTATTTCTGATATTTTCGCTTTTAGTACAATAGAATCCCATTAGAAAGAAAGCAGAATACTTGTATGACTTTTGTATTATGGGTACATTTTTGTGATATAGGTATTCTGAAATACCTAACAACTTTTGATATAACCAAGTCCATGGTACAGCTAAGCACTTTTAACTGTTTACTTATAAATAGATGACTATGGTCATAATGGCACTTATAATAGTAGTAGCAGATAGCAATAGTAATAGTGGTGTAATGTAGTATAATGATAGTAATGATGATAAGGAATTTAAAGATCCTTCTTTCTCACCCAAATAATAATCCTATCCATAAAAGAGAGTCAGAAGTAGTTATCTTTAATTATTGTGAGTTTCAAAGACTTTCAAAATCTAATTATTAAAAACTTTTGTTATATATACTAAAGACCATAAAATAGAACTCTAAACAATAAATGAACTTCTATAGACTCTCAAATAAGACTTAGGTAATTTATATGTTGTTGAAAATTCAGCATCTGTGGGTTGGGGGTGTAGTTCAGTAGTAGAGCACTTAAAATTCAACACCTACAGGGCTTAACAGGAATGTATTTCCACACAGTTCGCATGTACAGGCTCACTTTATATCAAGTGCTAAGCAGCTTAGAGTACCCTGTAATAACATGCTCAGATGAGTTTTATGAGACTTTGTGCCATTTTTGGTACTCCTTGATGAAACGACATCATATTTCTTTTTTTTTAAAGAAAAACTAAATAAATTCATCTAATGTCCCATTCCTATTATAAGCCACAGAAATCAAAAGTTAGGTGGGAGTTTGATGTGTACTTACACATACTAAGGCCTAAGGTCCTAGAGTCCTTGCTGCATGTGTGAAGTATTGTCCTGAACAATCGACTAGAAAGTGCATCTCCAGAATCTTTCTTGAAATTTTTTTTTCCAAACAAGTCATCTACTTGGAAAGCACTAAAGCATCAGAATCTCTCAAAGCTTTTATATGTATAGCATATAGCACGTTTTCTTGTCCATCTCAGATAGATCAATGTATGAGACATTGCTAAGCAAGAACTTCTAGAACTATTTTTCATGAACTTGCACAAAAATTCAAATTTACCATTTTGTTTAAATATCCAAAATACATCAGTAATATTAAGATATATATACATTAAGATTAAGCTTCATAAATTATACTCCCTTGGGCTTATATAAAATGTCAAGCCTCGGAGGCAGAATAGGAGACAAGCAGAAGTTTATTCCATTAGCATCTTCTTCTTTTCTGTGTAAACAGTTACTTTGGATATTTTTTTAAATTTGAAGCAGTAGTTATATGAATTCAATTTATTCTGGTTATGAGTTTCTGTTCTTGAAACGTATTTTTGGAACTTATTCATTTAGAAATGTGTTCATGTGTAATGGTCCATAATACTTCATGTGATGTATCATAATGACCTTGAAAACATGAATAAGGAAGTCTTGAGAGTTCAAAAGATTGGGCAATGCCTAAGGAAGCAAGAACAGTAGATAAACTTAAGGAATAAAACACACAAAAAACCCCTTAGCTGTTGGTTCTCATTTTACATTAACATTTTCCACAATAACTTTGAATCATAGTTTAAAAGACTGAATATCATCTAAATGAAGTACACTATTAAATTAAATCTCTTAAAGGTTTTGATGTCTGTCCTCATACTCTCTATGACCACTTTATCTTCTCAGGTAACACAATCTTTTCCAAAACTAGTAGTGTTTTATTGTTCAAGTTGCTTTCTTAAGTTAGCATAAATGGATTGTATGTATTTAAATTTCAAGACAATTTCTTCTAATCTAGGTATATTCCAAATATCTTAAATCCATGTCCATGTTACAACATAGACTAATTTTTATATTCATTACCATACCTTTCCTGCATTTCTCTGTCTCTATGTTCTTATTCATTATTATTATTTTATTTGCCTATTTTTTTAACTTTATAATCCCTGCTCATTTCTAAGTTGGCTTCCAGCGAAACTGCCCTTCCTCCCATGCACAAAGCTTCACCTGGCTCAGACAAAGGAGCCTTCCAGAGAAATGGCCAGGAGTGGTTGTCCCCGACAGAGGGGTGTCCACCAGCAAACTCTTTGTCCCCAACACCATCTTCTTTTCTGGACAACTTCTTGGATGAATTAGAAAAGTTTAGCGCTCTAACCTTACCAGGTGACCAAGCCAAACCAAATGGCCTGGAGGAGATCATCCTTGAAATTAAGGAGGAGCCTCCTGTCCTCCTTCCATTGCCTTCAGCATCCCTAGCTGCTGACTCACGTCACTCTCTGTCACCTTTCTCCCACTTGAGCGTGACCCCAGTTGCAGCCCAGCCTTACAGTACAATGCCACTTCAGGATCCCATAAAGACCACTGGAGACAAGTTTGCAGATCGGAAGAAAATGAAAAGAGGCTTTTCAGACCCTGAAAGGGTTCTTGAAGTACTGGGTGATAAATTTGTGTCCTCTGCATGTACCAATGTGGGTTCCTTGCCTGAAACCCTCCCTGTCATTGGAGAGGAAGATGAGGAAATCTGTGAGGGGGTTGTGTCAGGCATCCAGAGGTGGCCAACAGAATCTCAAGAACAAGGTGTCTTGTGGTGTGGCCATGATGGCACAGAGGTGACACCAGAGCTGCACATTGAAGAGGAGGAAGAGAAGGAGAAACTTGGCTGCTTAAAATATCCAGTAGGCATCCCCACAGATCCTAGGATCTCTAAGGAAGACAGCAAAGCAGCAAAATCCAGTCATGAGGTATTTAACTTTGCCTAACAACCCAAAAACTAACCAGGCTTACTGCACTGAGCTAGGATAGTTAATTACATTAGTAAATACCTACTGATTTCATTACAAAGAGAACAAGCACTGTGTGAGTCAGGGTGGAAGAATGAATGAAAACACTCCATATTTTACTAAAATGGTGCAAATATATAATTCCAGCACCAGATTATTTCTTTATGAGTATAAATTCACATTTTAAAAGTCTTTTTAGGGGCTGGGGTTGTGGCTCAGCGGTAGAGTACTTGCCTCGCACATAGGGGACCCTGGGTTCAATCCTCAGCACCACATAAAAATAAATAAATAAAAATAAAGGTATTGTCCAACTACAACTAAAAATACATATTTTTAAAAAGTCTTTGTAATATGTAACTTTTATAATTTTCCAAGTTTAATAACAATAGCTAATGTTGAAGCTCTTACTGTCAGACAGTTTTCTAAACATTCTACATCTTTAATTTTTGAAACCCAGTGAGATGGGAAATATTATTATCTGCACTATATAGATGAGAAAGCGAATGCAAAGACAGATCATCCCAATTCCAAGATGAAAGAACAGTAGACCACATCTCTCATAGGATGGCACTTTGCAAAAAAGTAAAATAACATAAAATATAACTTTATATTTTATAATAATATAAAATAAATAAAAAGACAAATAGTCCTTCCATCATTTTTTTACTTTTCTGGAGAGGTCGTTGTCCTCAAGTTGGTAACTACTTAAGAATTATGTTCCGCAACTTCTTCATACAAACAAAGGATATCAACCAACAGCGTTAATCACAAAGAGAAAATTCCCTAAAATATTCATGTGTACACTTTTCTCTCTTTTTAAAAAATAAATTAAATGTGTATTCTGCTAGTAAAAAATAAAGTATAATTACTTGCAAGTACTGAAACTATAAAATAAAAAGAAAGGTTCATAATATGCTTCTATGCCAATCATTTTTTTCATGATTCCTCTATTTCCAAAATAAAAACTCTTCCATGCTTACCTTTGCATAAAACAGACACACTACTTCATCAATCACAGAGAGCATTCACTAAGTTAAACATGTTTCTAAGGGAGTTACTTAATAACTAATTTTCCCTTCAATATAATCAGTATTAAGATGTTTTTAGGTAAGTGGCTCAATTCACAGGCTATCTGCCTGCTGCAAACAGTACACCAGGCTTGGCATATGCCTTATGGGGGGAGCCCAGTAGCCAGTTCACATCACACAGAGAGATCATCACTTCCCTTGTTTCATAACAAAGTGATACTTAGAGTTTGTGACCTACTCTCCAAACAAGTTACAAAGGGTCATTACAGGGTCGTAGATAAGTTTTTGTCTTCACATGTAATAGAAGCTTTCAAATAAACATGAAATGGTAGAATACATACGTTATCTCCTCACCCCCAATTTAAACCAATTATACCCATTGGGACTTTTGAATCAAATTCAAAAGAAAAAGCACAAAGCAAGAATTTATCATAAATATCACTTCCCAGGATAACTTTAAAATTAATTTCAGTTTGGAAAATATTCTTTAAAGACTTTGCAGCCTCATTCTGGATATGTGAATAATCACGTCTTGTTTTTCCTCAATCTTTAAGCCACCTTCATTTTCTTCGGGAGATGGAGCATCTACACCTTTTCCCAGCCATCTGCCTTCCTCCCCTTCATTCCATTCTCCCTTGGCCTCTGTTTCTGACCTGGTCTCTACACTTTCTCAGCCTACCCAGCCCTACTCTCCTCTCCTCCCTAAATATTCTTATCAACAGGAAATAAGTTCACCAAAATTAAAGGTAACTGCATCTTGAGTCTTGAGTGTGGCTTACTGCATGTTTTTAAATGAACTCAAGTAGATGTATGCATTTAGAATCTGTGGCATCTTACAAGCTCTAAAAAGTTATATAAGTACTGATTGCTAACTTTTAACATGATAGCATGGCCTCTGTTCAAAAATTTAAGTTATATCTTCATAGTAACTAGACCCAGGTTGAAGAGAAAAACAAACTAAAATTTATATCATCATAAAAAACAATCATTAGATTTTTTTATTGGGAGTCAGCTTGAGAACCATCCCATTCAAAGGTGTAAGCTTTGTGCCTGTTATTCTCTCCCACTTCCTAGTAAATTCATTACCTCCCATCATTTCCCTCCCACCCATCAGCAGGAACAGCAGAGCCTAAGAGCAGAATGGTGTTTTGTCATCTACTGTCTTGAGCCGAGACCTTTCACAAAGGTGGAGTAAATGGGGATGTAGGTAGGATGAGTCTACTGTTGCAGCTGACAAAGCATCCATCTCTGACACCTGCAGGCTGGCAACTCTGTTGGTATTGAACTCTTCCTTAAGATCATATTTTTAAAATTTTTTAACAAAATTAATGACTGGCCTTGGAAAGAGGTAATGATCATCACAACATGAAATCAGTCCATCACAGAAAAGATTTGCTTCTATGCTCAGAAAGATCCTGAAATATTTCCCTTTTGGCAAAGGTGACAGATTTCAAATTAGAACTCATCCTCATATTTAGTCTTTTGAACATGAAATGGGGGTCTCTGCAGATGAAAGTTAAAACTTTGGTAGAGCCAAGTTTTTATGTTAGGGAACTCCAACACCTGAACAGTGCCATTTATACAATCTTCAACATCTATGTTATCACATCCCTCCACCAGAACAGTCCATTTATGTGAATTCACTTAGGTGTGGAAGGAACTTTTCAAAACTGAAATACTTAAAAGACTATTTGCTCTTTGTTCTTAGAGATTTTACCGTTACTGGCAGAAAATAATTAGAAAAAAAAATTAAGCACTATAATGCCACTTTATATAATGTCTCAGGCTAAGAATTTATTTCCCTTGCTTTCTGTGGTTTTAATTTTAAAGCCAGTGTATTTAATACTTGCCTTTTAGTACTAATTCATCAGGCCTTTAAGCTTTATCAGTAAGTGAAAGAATAACCTTAGAATCTGAGTTCTCAAACTTAGAGACCAGACAGAGGACTCAACCTTGTAGCATCAAGGACAAAACTAAAATTTAGAAAGTTTTATTCTCCTGCAAGAACCTAGTCCATCTCATAAATTCTTCAGGTCCCAGATGCTTATAGAATGATATGAGAGAATAGAGGTATCAAAAGAATACTTTAATAACTATATAAAATAACCAACTCCAGAGAAAATGTAAATGTTTTTTCTATAAGATTTTATCTTACATTGGGGAGCAAATCTTGATATTTAATCTCCCATTGAGTTTTTTTTAAAAAACCTTGTAAGTCTATTTTCCTACTCATAGAAAGAATATAAGTTGGCTGAAGTTATTCATGCTGAGTAAATATAAATACAAATTGAATCAACTCTGAATTTTTATACTCATTGCAAAGAAAGAAACCTAGCACTGAAATCAAAGAGAAAAGACCATTTTAATAATCTTAATAAGTACAGCAGAGAATGCATGAAATAATTGCAATAACATTTTTATCAACCCCTATCAGCCATTGTTCAGCCTATGTTAATTCAATGTCATTTTATTCTTTAAAATTATATTCTCGGACCATGAAAAATCTGTCATGTGCAATCCATAATCTTCCATAAAAGTAAAATTGACTACCACTTTATGGATTATAGAATGTTGAAAGATAAACAAATTGTAAATTTGATGTATAAATAATCCAAATCCAAGATTTTCCCCTAGTTTTTTCAGTATGTTTTCAAATTAATTAGTTTTTATAATAAAAATTACTGTAAAATTCAATCCTCTCTGAGATGTACTTTTCATTACATCCTAGAGAATATTTTGTAGAAGAGATTGATAGAATGTGGATTCAAATTGCAATGAAAGCACTTAATGAAGATAGAGAACAGTTTTTTCTTGGGTTTCTTCCAAGAAACTCATTTCTTATGGTCCCACTGGGACGTCATCATCCTAAAGCAGCCCCATCCAATCTGAGCCCCTTGAGCAGTTTCCAATACGAAATTTGGCTCCAATTCTATGTTCAACTGATCTTTTTAGTTGTTAACTGTCCACATCAGTTTTTCCCCCCTCTGTGAGCATTGATATTATAGAACCACGGTATTCATCAAAATCAAAATTCCTGCAGTCCCAGAAAACTCAAAATACTTTTAGCTTAAACCTGGCAAACATACATTTCTGACATAAACATAGAATGTTCCAGATTGGAATGGTGGCTTTACAGTCACCAGAAAACCCAGGAAATACCCAGAAATTACCTGTATTGCGCCTTTCAGAACTTATCATACAAATACATCTGAGTACAAAGAAGGTTAGGAAATGTAATCTTTACTCAGAATGGCCATGAACTTGCCCAACATCCTGGGTCCCACTACTGAAGGCGAAGAAGAAAATGGATATCAGAGAACATCAGACACTCCTCCTACCACCCTTAAGCAAACCTGCCAAGCTCATTTCATCCCAAGAAACTATTGATTTGAGGACAATTATAAATAGTTATTGTTAAATTTCCCCTAAATGAGAAAACCACGTTTTATTTAAAAGTCTTTTAGTTCTACTAAAGGTCTTTTAAGCTAAATCAAATGCCAGACCCTATATTACTAGATCCTGCCCCCTCGTAAAATCTACTCCCACACATGACTGTCACAGTGAAGATCTTACTTTGAAAAAAAATGCTAAAACAATCAAGCTTTAGTTAGGGCAATATTTAGTATTTAATTATATTTCACCATTAAAAAACATCTCTTCTTATACATGCTATTAGAAATTTTTTTCTCTTGACAGTTTCCAAGAAATCTGATGAGTTTCCATCTCACTTTGTATCTGTTCAATAAGCACAAAGAAAACAGGTCAGATTTGAGGGTATTTTTAACCCAGTAGTTAAGTACTCTGTTAAAAAGATAAGCTGAGGCAGGAAGCTCATGAGTTCAAAGCCACCCTCAGCAATAGTGAGGCGCTAAGCAACTCAGTGCAACCCCGTCTCTAAATAAAATACAAAATAGGGCTGGGATGTGCCTCAGTGGTTGAGTGCCCCTGAGTTCAATCCCCAGGACCAAAAAAAAAAAAAAAGATAATTTTTACTTTGTATTCATAGCCATGTACTTTGCTTTCAAATACCTTATCCATGCCAGCTTCTCTCTCTAATTCTTTTTCTGCTGTGCCTATGAGCCCCATATCAATGCAGCATCTGATCCTGAGTGTAGACACTGTGTGGAGCCCTCAGAACAGCTGTCTGCAGACTCTTAACCCTTCCTGCTCTGCTGTTATTCAGGAGTTTGGCATGCTGGGTGTGCATGGGAAGACCAAGATAGGAGAACTCCTCCTGAGACTGCATCATGAAGATGAGAACTAACTAACTTCTTATGGCTTTTCCAGGCTGATTTAAAAAGCGAGATATTTGTCCTGGGTAAACCTCCTCGTAGCCCAGTGATGTCTAAGAGATCCTGCAGCTCACCTGGCAGCAGTTCCCACAGGGTAGGGTCAGATCGCACCCACCTTGTGACAGCCATCCTGGCCACTGTCCCTTTCAGTGGGCTGGCTCTTCCACAGTTGTCCTAGCTATGATCTGACAGTGAAGTAGGGCTGAAGAGAGACCCTTGAGAGGAAGTTACCAGCTGATGATGACCAGTGAAATCATATCAACAGGAAAATCCTGATCTAAGACTTGGGGTCATGGCCTTCCCTGGTGTGTGTATCAGGTTTCCCAAAATCCAAAAAAGACATGATCAGTTTCCCACAATACAAATAAGGGCAGGAGTGTGTGCGGTTTTCTACATCTGTCTCATGTTTCTGGACTAAATTGCTGCTTTCTAGTCACTGTGTATGGTGCAAAACCCAAACTGCTGCCAATCATATATTGAACTCACATGCTTTCAGTGATGTCGGCTTCTATGTCAATTTGTTCAGATTTATTTTAATTCACGATCCTTGTGTCAGAATGTGTTGTTTGTGTTGGTGGTGTAGGGGTGAACATAGCTGTCTTTCCAAATGTTTTGTTGCTCCAGTGACAAGTGCTACATTCACTCAATGCTCCTTTTATCTCCAATATTGCTCTCTGGAGTCCATGTACTCCCAATTTTTTGACAGCTTTGATCAAACTTAAAGGTCCAATTACTGTCCCTTTAGCTGCTTAGTTCTATACCATCTGCAGCACTTTAGAATGAATGGATTCTAAATGGAACTGTCACTTCTGGGGAACGCAGCCAAGATGTTTGGGGATTCTCATCTGTGCATACGTCAGGATTCCTTTTACCATTGCTATTTCAACAGGCCCTGGTTGAGTTTCACTAGCCAATTACAAAGTTGTGGCTCTGCATTTCAAGTTCCCGAAGGCTTCATTTCAAGTTTTTCTTTTCCATTTTTTAAAATATAGATACTGTTCTGTGTTTATGCCATTTTGTGCTTTTTTTTTTTGCTTTGCATAGTAAGACCTTGTTTTGTTGCCAAAACAATCTTCTGTTGCCATAGAGAGAGAGGAATGTCAATTTGTAGAGATTCTTAAACATCTTTAAATGGCTTTCCAGAGCCAACATACACACACACACACACACACACACACACAGGGAAGTTTTTTCCAAAATTGATAGAGCTCATCATAAATCCCCGTGGGTCAATGAACTGGTATGCTTTGGGTCACTGCAAGTTAGGTTACACATTTGTGTGGACCATAAATATTCTATTTTCTTTCCACTTGTGCAAAGTTATGTTTACTTTCATAATTTAAGAAAGAAAAATAAGCCTATAAACATAAACTTGGTATTGTTATTAGGAGATTGTCAGCCATTTGTGCTTGATAAACACTACTATTAACATTTTCTGGGGAAAACTTGACTTAAAAACTTTAGAACAATTTATCATGCTTTCAAGATTTTTCAACATTAATATTTAAAGTAACAATTCATACTATTTTCACAATGATGTCATAAAAGATATAGTGAATCCTCCAGGGATACCTTTGCAGAAGCATAAATAGATTGGCTTTCAGACAGACTATATCTCACATGAGAAGGGAAAGTATATCTTCTTCTGATGCCAGAGAATCTAGGATAGGTCAAACCAGTTTCTTTATGAGCAGTGGTTTGTGGTTGATCCTGGCTTTGAAAGTTAACATGTGTTAAAAACCTGTCTTTCATCTTTGACAGCATTAAAAAATAAATAAATAACTATTCAGCAACCAAAATAAATAAATAAATATACTAAAAGAAAAAAAAAGATTGTTACATTGATAAGGGGGAAATTAAATACTTATGGTACCATAAAAATAGCATGGTGCTGCACTGAATTTTATAAATTTTATTCTACTTTTAAGATTCATCAAGGAAATATAGGCATGATACAATTCAATTCTTGCTCAAATTTTCCAGAGCAGTGACTGTAATGTGTTAACTTGAAAACCATCTTCTTGAGCTCACAGTTCATGTAAGCCTCTCAGAATGTCACAAATATATATTCTTCTATATTTATCTCAGCCCAGTTAAGCAGTTATGAGTAATAGAAATGCCTGGGCAGATAGTTAAAATAGAAATGAACACAGACCAAAAACATTGGTGGCTGACAAGTGATTCCTTCTCAAGAATGTAAAATGTGGGAAGGGAAGAACATGGTTAGGAAAACAGGTGATTGTTCATTCCACATCATTCTGTGGTCTTTAAAATATCCTTTCAAAATTAATCCAGGCTGAAGGAATTTGGTGAGAGCTGACCAAAGGCAAAAACAACTTTTAGTGTGTTGCTGTCCCTACTCACCATTAGGTGGCAATCAAGGGCAGATATGGCACCAATTCTAGGGTACATGCACACTGAGCAGAAGATGGTCTCCTGAGATAATTTGCTTGAATATCTTTACAAAACATAAACACCTATCTTAGGGACAAAATAAAGATGTTGATTAACCAAGTTGAGCCACCTATCCTATCTTAGTAATATTTCATGCAATAAAGAGGGTTAGTAAAATTTATCATCCTACTTTGTTTTCTAATCTATTTGTCACATTAAGAAATTATCCAATAGCATTGGGTTTTGGTTTATTTGTCTGAAAACAAAGCTGAATTATTACCATTATTGTTTTTATGTGACTAAGACAAGTGATAATCAACCAGTAAATGTCACTTGTCAGGGCTCTCTGACAATTAAATGTCTAAGATTGATGAGAGGCCCCTTTACACAGCCGAGGAAATGTGGATGTCTTTATGAGTTCCCCAAGTGGAGCAAGATTAATTTTCATCTCATCCAACTCCTTGACTTTAGAGATAAGAAAGCTGAAATGAATCCCCAAGGTCATAGAGTAAGTAGTCCATGTCCAAAACAGACACAAATGTGCCCTCATAAATAACTACTCATAAGCAACCACTAACACTTCTTACACCACTGCTTATTGGTCAAATGCCTTTGAAATAAATTAATTCATAGGCTGGGGATGCAGTTCAATGACAGACCACTTGACTGGCATGCCCAAGGCCCTGAATTTGATCCCCAGCAATACACATACACAAATTAATTAATTAATTCCAAAGCGGTAATTGAGTTACCTTTCCTCCAAACGAGTTCCTAGTTATCCATTAACATGGGGTGAGTCTTCTTAAAGGAATTTTTGCAAAGTTTTATGAGAGATTCACAATTTCTCTGTTAATTAAGGCTGTGAGAAATTCTAGCCTGTGAATATAAACAGTATAGAAAGGGCAGCAGGCAGAGACAAGTTTTGAAGGATGTGAAGGAAAAGAAAAGATATATTGGGAAACAGGGTCAAGAGCAAGGACATTACTGACAGACACAGCCAGAAACACAAGCTCTTGACATGCTGAGGCCTGCAGAACTAAGGGACCCACACACAGCAACAGCCCAATTCTTCCAATCCAATCATCAAAAGAATAGTTCACGTAAATGATTTAAGAAGCAGGTTGAATTAAAAAATCGAACTGGTAGAATTATAGTGATGGAGATATACCAACTTTGAAAGTAGAGTTTTTATTTTAATATATAACTTCATTTTTAATTTTTATTTTAATTTTTATTTCATTCCCATTTTAATGATATTAAATCAACCACTTTCACCAAACACTGAATGCATTTATAAGTTATAACTTTTACTCAATTTAAACATATTAGGATGATTTAACTATGTGGAAATAGGCAGGTCATCATTAGAGCATAATGAAACATATTTTACAAAACGTTTTCTCTTAAGAACAAATAATATTTTTATCTATAACTTTTCTTTGTCATACACTACGTATGGTGCTATGAAAATTTTTTGAAAGAATAGTCACTATCATGGTTGTTATTTGAAAGATAGCAAATTAGACTCTGTTAAAGACTCTTTTATATACACAATACTTTTGAGTGATTAATGTGACATTTTCAAAATCATGTAGCCTTAATACGTAGTAATAAATAGTAATTTGACTGGAAATTTTATTCCTGTGAATGTATTCTAAAAAATAATTTAAAAGAAAAAAATAGCTTTTGAATATAATGTTAATAACATTGTTATTTATAATAGCAAAAATAAAAAAGGATTAGGCCAATCAACTTCAAAAATAAATGGTTAAAAATATAGTATATAGATACATATGTGAGGGAACATTATTCTGCAGTCATTTAAAAAGAAAAAGAAAACAGAAAAGAAGACTTGGAATTATTACATAGTATTAGTGACAATATATACAGCTCTTACTTCAGCATGCAAGATATTTTACATATATAAAGTTTCGTTGAATTAAAAGAGAACCTGAAGAAATGTAACATATAGGTTTATGGATGACTTACAGTTGCCTCTTTATACTTTAAATTGATTTAATATTTTAAACCATCAAAAATGGCTGGAAATGGTTTAATCTTAATCATTCTTAAAATAATGTTTTATAATTTTAATAATAGATACACTGCTAACAATTTTATATTGGTTTATGTGAATAAATTCTTTTAAGGCCTTAAGCCATCCACATGTATGTAATCTTACCCACACTTTAATTTTAAGTTATTATGTGCATGGACTGTTGAGTGAAATACTATTGGTAATAGCTTTAAGTGAATGGATTCACTTGATCTTAGCCAAAAGGCCGAGAAGCGATAAGTGAATGGATTCAGAAATTGACATTTTAGTAGTCTATCCCAGATAGCATGGATGGGAAATGGTTGGATAAAGAATTTAGGAAGGGGACTGATCATCGAGTACAGGGAATCCCAGATTTCCCCATCCAAGCCTGGGCCAGTGGTATTTCCATAGACAATCTGCAGGAAAAACTTTTCAGCCTATCAACAATCTATTCATAACTATGGTAACCTGAGAACTGGTCCTGATGTCTAAGGACATGGATCTAACAATTAATTCAGTAATTATCAAAGAGTCACTGCCATGCAAACTCTGATTTTGTTATTTCACCATGTAACTGTCCTTTAGAAGAAAATACTTTTGAAACGTGTTATGAATGAGTTGTATGCATTTCTCTCCCTAAAAGGTAACACTTAGGTAGTCAATTACACAAATTTGACATATTCGACAAATGTATTAACTTTCGTTCAATGAAGTAATTATGTGGCTATATAGGATGCTAAGGCTTGTCATTTCCAATATTATAAGTATCTATTACAGATACTGGTCTTGATGCTTAGTTTAAAAAGCAAGGAAACTCTTTTGAGAGTTCAGTGCACTGGGAATTTCTACCAATATTTCTCTTCCAAGGTAAAAATGTTACATGTTACCTGGATATTGTTTGTTGCATTCTATTAAAAGTTCTCTGTTTCTCATTTTAAAAATGCATGTGCCTTCTCCACATTGAGAGCAGAGAATGTTACTTCAAATGTAGCATGGGATGTCACCTGTACTGTATGTGAAAATGTTGTCTGTGAAGGAAAAGTTTACAGAGTGAATGTGGATATTCTGCTGTTAAGCTAACTGTGGCTTACTTTCTGCTTGTTTGAGAAAACGCTGGAGAATAAGATTGAGTGAAGGTGTCCATACTGCCTATTCTAGTGGTTTGGTGTCCACGTTCTTTCCATATTCCTGACCTTTGAAAAATCAATGGGACTAAACCCTGAATTCTTAAAGCTTGAGCAGACAAGATTGTGAATGTGTTCAAAACATTTGAACCATGGTTATTTTGATTTAATTTAAAGCACCCTTCAAAATATTTTAATTATAAATCCTGCAGAAACCCTTTATTTGGTGGTTGTTTTTCTTCCTCTTGGTTTTTTACAACAGGAAATATTAAATGTCAAGAAAAGTACCATGCCATTACCCAAATTATCTTTTAATTAGTACCAGTTTAAACATTGATTACATTGAAAATCATTTCATTTCAGCCACAGCGTCCTGTGTTTACTCATGAAAACATTCAAGGTGGGGGGGAACCGTAAGTATTCTTCTTATCTTCTAAATTCAAGACTAACCTTGACCCACAATATAGATTATTGATGTACCAAAACAGAGGATGGCACATCTTTGCAAGTGGAAGAGATCAAAGTAACTTCTATGAGATCTTTTAACTTAGGGGTAATTGCAGTGGTCTCCATCTTTTATGACAGAGATCAAAAGCAACCCTTAAAAGAAAACAGAGAAGGTTTTCATTTATGCACTAAGAAAACCTTCCAACGTTGCAGTGATTCCCAAGATTTATAAATTTGTCTCTTCCTCTGCCTGCTGGTTATGTAACTAGTCACTACAGTTTTAAAGACACATGCAAAATGTCCTAATATTGTTTTTCCACCTGCTTGATTGAAAGTAGACTTAAAGTCTACCTTAATACCATCATTCCGAAGTTACATGCTTAGAAGTGTCTTTTGAAAATGGCAGTATTAAAACAAAACACTCACTGTCATTCAGCTAGAAGGTATTACTTCCCCAGCACCAGGAATATGCCTTTCAAATTCCCTCTCTTTGATACAGAAGCTAATTCATCCTGAAGGTATTACACATTGCCTTTAAGAATCTCTCTTGTGTAGCTTTTTCTTCCCCATTTCACCCATGAGAGAGGTCATCCACTCTTACTGGTTCCTGCCTATTCTAAGTCAGGAGCAAGATCCCTGGAAGCAGCAGTTCTGGGCCTACAGAGTGAGCCTTCTTCCCCAGCTCTGCTCACCTTGTACAGAGCAGGCTGACAAGGCTCCTCCTCATGGGCAGGACCTGCTGTGCGGCCTGAGTCTTGAGCACCACCAAGCCCTTGCTCCTCGTAGATCCTAGACCTGAAACTTACTAAAAGCATCCTCTTTAGAGCCCAGCTCCCACAGAGACTGGCTCTCACAGAGTACAGACAGAAAGGTGTTTTAGTTGAAGGAAATTCCATACCACAAATAATCATTTGAATTTAACTGGGAAACTTCAAATATAATTTGTGATTCTGAAGTTTCTTTTCCTTCTCTCATTGATGCAAACAATGATAGGATCCCATCACAAAAAAATAAATAAATAAATTTTTAAAATATAGACTCCAGGGATGTCTAGGTTTATAGCATTACCAACATGTTCTTTTAAACAGCTTTTAAGGAGTTGATGAATGACTAAGTGTCTTCTGTTACACTGTTTTATGTCATAGACAACTGTGGTCGTTTGGCTATTAAGAAACCAGAGACCCCACATGTGGGAGAAGACACATTTTCCAAGTCCTGCTTTGGACATTTATAAAACATTTTTTATTAAATTTCTATTTTGATTGCAGATTCATTGGCGTATTGCTTCATGTCCTTCATTTAAAAATTAGGTTTTGGAGCAAAAGTGGGAATATAATGTTATATCACTACAATTCAGTTTTGGTGAATATGTTATAGAAAATTGTGCAGAGAGTTTCTAGTTTGGCTCAGCATTTCCCATATAAAGACAAATTTATTTCTGAGGCATTCTGACCCCACCACCATCATTCATTTCACCAATACATCTTTCAAAACAGCATTTTAAATCATAATTACTGCATTTCCTGTCATGCAATACTGATTTTGAAAGCCAGCAGAGGTAGGAGGATTTCCGGAAGGTTTGTTTATGTTTCCATAAAATTTCTTTTTTTTTTTTTTGTGGTCTAATTAAACCAGAATGGTAAGTAAATTTTGACAAGCATGCTGGCTTTTATCATTCAAAAAATGAAGTAGGACTTCTTGCCAATTTTGGTCTGTGAGCTTTGGGGACCTTGAGATTCTTCAAGCAGCTGGGGATTGTGGACTTAAATAGGCCTGTCTCCATAAGTGGTTGGAGATGTGCCTTGGTAAAGGCTAAAGAGGCCTGAGAAGCTCAATCACAGAATCAGTTTTCCCAAAGTGAGGGGTGCAATACATACCTATTAAAATAGCAGCCTGGAAATGACTGTTTCCCTCCAATGTGAAACTGGAAAAGACGCCATGTTGAAATCAATATCCCCCATGAATATACAAAAGGTAGCATTCCTTCACCTTGCCAGCCTCAAAACCTAGTCAATACATACAACAAAATAATTTGACTATTCCTTTCAAGGCTAGCCTCACACAAACATCCGAATGATTTGTTTCCGTTAACACCTGGCAGTTTTTACCACCCCTGCTCTGGGAACCTGCCTACCTTTCTTTACTTGGGCCACCATCAGAATCCTCCCACAACAAAAGACCCAGAAGACTATTCTCAAAAGAACATAAGTGGCTGAAATAAGTTTGCTAGAAGGACAAGGTATCAATAAAGAAAGAAATCTCTGTTATTGGAATTTCAGGCTTTGGTACAGGACAGGGTTTTTTAAGAGAGGCTGTTAAACACTGTATCTTAGTGGCTCTTTCCTAGAGTTCCCTGAAGCCAACTTTATCCATATCTACTCAGCTGAAAAAGTTCACGAAAAGAGAGGGAAACCAGTGGATCAGTGTTCCTTACTTTTGACTCAATATTTGAGTTCAAGCAATGGAATAGTTTATTCTACCAAAACATGATTTTCTGACCGAATAAAGCAATTAGAAATAAATCATTAATGTTCCTGATCAGAACTCATTCTTACCAACTTTTTCAAAGTGGTTGAAAGAACTCCAAAATACCCTAGAATGTTGTTTTTATTTTCTTACAAAAATAGTAGAATTATATAATGGTTACAAAGAGCAACAGAATCAAATTCACCAATTTTTTAAAAAAAATCCCCCTCACAGTGCTGGTAATATTTAGTAATATTAAGAATAAGTTTTTATGTTTACTGCAAAACAAATTATTCCTGACCTTCTCAGCTATTATAATTTTTGTCTTCACTTTCCAAAATACCAGTCCATTCTAATAGTCATTAAAATATATTCTATTTGTTACCACAAATTCAATGTCTGAATTTGTTACTAATCAAATGTCACCATAATGTATCTCTTCAAAGAATTCAGGTGGAGAAAAAAAATGATAGCATTCTATTAGTAATTCTTCCAAAGAAAATTTTAAATTCAACACAATGTCTCTAGAACCATTTTTTTTTTTTTTTTTTTTTTTTGGTGGTTGTCTGGGGATTGAACCCAGGGCCTTGTGCATGCAAGGCAAGCAAGCACTCTACTAACTGAGCTATATCCCCAGCCCCAGAGCCATTTTAAAAAGAAATTTATGTCCATAATCTAATATTTAAGATTGACTCAGTAATAACCGAGCATAGACTACATCCACTCAACTTCATAGGTGACTTGCAAATTCTAAATCCTCAGAATGCACTGATTGTAAATAAAATTAATCTGCTTTAAGGAGATCTCCTGATGAAAAAAAAAATAACCTTCTCTTTTAAAGTAATTCCTACATGGTGATTTAGAAGATGTGCATCTGAAACAATTTGTGAATCTCAATTAGAATCATTTAAAAATTCGATTTGAAAGCATCAGTTATTAATGATTATGACTGTTAAAACTATGATTCCAGCCAGGCTCAGTGGCACATACCTGTAATCCCAGCGGTTCAGGAGGCTGAGGTGGGAGGATCACTAGTCAAAGTCAATCTCAGCAACTTAAGGCTCTAGACAACTCAGTGAGACTCTGTCTCTCAATAAAATACAAAAAAGGGCTGGAGATGTGGCTGAGTGGTTAAGTGCCCCTAGGTTCAACCCCTGATACCAAAAAAAAAAAAAAAAAAATACTATGATTCCTTCTTGTTTTTATTATAGCTGAATAATACAAATATCATTTATTTTTGTATTCTGCATTATTATGTAGTATTTAAATAATCAACTTTAGATAACTTGAACATTAAAATGTAGGTCTGACCTATAAATGTTAACATATTTTCATCCAGTTCATGAATATTATAATCTTCCATGAATGTTCTTCATTGAGAGTTTCAAAATGTTATTTGGGTAGTATCATTCCCATAAAAAGACCTAAATTTTTCTAATTAGTTTACATGCTTGCCAAAGATTTACACTACTTAAAATGCTAAAAAGAATAGAAATGTTAAAAATAAAATGAATATTGCACTATGTTCGATTTCACAAAGATGTAAAAAAAAAAATTAAAACGTGCTTGTCCTGTTTAAGGTTTCAGGCTCTGTATAACTATACTCCTAGGAATGAAGATGAGCTGGAACTCAGAGAAAGTGATGTCATTGATGTGATGGAAAAATGTGACGATGGATGGTTTGTAGGTACGTGTACATTTCTTTTCAGACACATCTGGCTGCAATTTGCTTGCATTTGCTCTCCTGCATGGTTCACTGTGATAGTCAAGCCTTCATTGAATTCATAATGTCTTTGAATCTTTCCTACATTCATATGCATTGTGTAATCCCCATATGCATATACATATGTACAAACCATTGCCTTTTTACTGTTTAGTATTTACAGCTTCCAGTATGTGTGATTTTCTGCTAGTTTTTATCTCCGAGAAAATGAAAGGACTAAGGCCACATTTACAGCCCCAAGATTCTGATTCTATTTATAATAATTCCCATCCAGAAGAAAAGTAAAATGGCTGGCCTTCATGGGGCAGGGGTTTAGGAGTGTGGAATAATGGTAACCAAATGAAGATGGTAAATTCTAAAGTTTAATGGGAAATGGAATTTGATAGACCGTATTGACACTAATTGTGCTAGAAATCCCAAGTGAGCTTTTGGTGCATCAACTTTCACAAAAAAGTCTCCAAGGAATCATGGTATTAGAAACCAAAGGTAATTATAATGATGCCCAGTGACTGAAACTGTTCCCCCACCCCCACATAAACACAAGTAGTGGCTAATCTTTTCTTTCTTTAGTGACTCTGTAAATTGTTCACATTTTCCATATTTTATTAAGGACTCTGACAGTGCTTTGAGCATGAGATAATACAGCTCTACTGGTATTGTCGGAGCCCAGATAATGCTTTAATGTGGCACCTGTGTTGAGGAAGCCTCTTGCCCTGAACCAACCCTAGTTCTTGCACTTTTCCAGTTATCCTGACACATTTATTTCTCATTCCTTGCTCTTGTTTAGCAGCATGGTGACGAGTTCCACCACCCACCTCCCCCACAGGGTGGTCTTTCCCCTTAGATGAAGAGGCTGAGCTTTTCTTTCGAGCCTGGTGTGCCAGAAGCAATCACTGAGGCTTATGAGGCAATGAAAACATCAGGCAGCATGACTAAAATTGCTTGTTTTTTCTTCTTTTTGTCTTAAAGTGAGTTTTCTGTCATCCTTTCCAAAACCCTTCAGGGCTTTATCTCTTAGTGAAGCCTTGTAGGTGGAAAGTGCTCAAGTCTACAGATATGAACTGATATTTCCTTGTTGTCACACCTTTTTTATTTATTGCTTCTATTTTCAGGAACCTCAAGAAGAACCAAATTCTTTGGTACTTTCCCTGGAAACTATGTCAAGAGGCTGTGAATCACTCTCCCTCCTTATTTATGCCGCATTTCAGCAACACATCTGCATAAAACTTGCCTGAGACATCTCTGAAGGCCTCTCATTGTCATGCCTTACAGTTTCCAATACGCCATCACCATCCCCACCTGCCACCACCAAACCACCAGCAGAGTAACTGCCACTGTGAGCCTTGGGGGGACGTGGCAGACTTACATTCATGTGAAAGTGTATATTCCTGCTTTCTGCCCTAAACTTTGAAATGTCAATGTGTGGGATCAGAAAGAAAATCATTTTTCTTAGAAAAGGTAAAATATTGAAGCCAAAAAGAAAGTGTCTCCAGGATACTCTCTGGTCTCATGCTTGTACTTGGAAATTTCTGAAAGATGGTCTCCCCTGGGGCAACCAGAAGATTGCTTATTTCTAAATGCTGTGGTTTGTATTTTCACATTCTTAGCTTGGCATTCTATTTTCCTTTCACAAGTTTGCCTAGTGTCCTGGTTTACACTATATGACAACTGTACTTCAGCTATTGTTTGCCTGCACTTATATGTTGTTATATGCACAGTGACTATAAAATCTAAAGCAAGAGTAGGAAAGTTAATTTGGATGGGTGTGATTTTGTTGATTGAATGTAAGTTTTCAAATAGGAGTCTTTTCCTGCAATTTTTTTTTTGTACTTTTTAGAAGTGCAAACAGTGAGTGAATAAGAGCCTTTGGTAATTATCATGAGAATACAAGAGGATTAGCTAGGCTAAAAGAAAAAAAAACATTGTGTTGTAAAGTTGCATTGCTATTTTATATTAAAATGTAATCATCAGCATCATGAACAATGAGCTCTTAGTGTTTTATTTATCTGATAAAATTTAAATGACAGCAGTGTTAGAGGTACAAAGAACTATTCTAATATAGACACTTGAAAGTATCTGTAAGCAATATTAGTAGGTAAGATTTCACTGTGTGTACACAGGCGCATTTGAGATTGTATGAGAACATATAATCCATATGATATGTTGTACATTTTATGGAAATGTAAAAGAATCCCACATATTATTTTATAGAAATAGAGTACTTCAGAAGCATCACAAGTATTAAGGCTGGTTTTAGCAAGGATTATGATCAATACAATTATTTTTACTATAGTAATTATTTTTCTTCAGTGGAACCCAGAATCCTGGCTACATTTGAGAACAGGAATATGTTGAGCCTGATTTTCCTGGTATGTGTAAAATACTTCCTAGGAATAAATTAGGCACTTTTTAGGGACAATGTTAAATCATTCAGGTAATATTTTTGCCCTAAATTTGCAAAATTACATTGGACCTGAAAGATTTAATAGGGTTAATAGTGCCTGAATTACACATACCCTGAGAACTAGCTTTGTATTTCTTATGACTTTGCATAAGAACTATTCATCTTTGGATCTTGAGCACCTTATAAACAAAACTTTTTATGACATTTCTTCCGTGGACAATGATTGATCTTTTCACAATACATAGACTCTTGAATTTTGTACATATGTTTGTTCTTTTTTTGTACAGACTATTTAGTCATTGAGAAAGCAGGGGGATTTCCTAATCTGATCTTTATCCTGCACTTAAACTTTGCTAAAACACTTTCAGCAGAATACCCTTTACCTATCTCACAGATCACACCCCTTGATAGTGCGATTCTGTAAGGTAGCATTTATGCAAAACTTTATGAGTTTAAAAATCTTAGCAGCCAAATTGAAATGTACATAAATACTGATTACAGAGGAATTTCATTAGGAAGAAAGTAAAGAAGCATTTTTGAGTATACCACCTTGATTACCATCAAGTTCACAATCAGCTTTATACTTTAAAGGTTTGGGGTTTGAAATTAAGTCAACTGCATGCAGATTTGCTGATAAATGAATAATTCTCTTTGATGCCATTTATGAGAGAAGACTTCAATATCTGTTGCCTGTCATATTTAAAAAAAAGTACTGTTTCTACTCTGTATCTGATTTTAAAAGGAAAAATATTCATACCTGGATTTCAGGTAATTGACTTTGAATTCTTACAAGCAGAGGTCAATGTGTTTTTCTTGAGTAGACATCTAATAAATTTTGCTTGGAAGTATATTTCAGTTTTTCTTTTTGACATTTATACCTATCTAAATTGTGTATTTTATTTCCTGTTGCTAGTTAAAATATAAGAAAATTCATTTACTCTATGTTCTCTTGACACACAAATGGAGAAAATATGTGTTAGCATCAGCTCAGAGAAGAAGTATTTTTAAACCTACCATTAAAGCTCATTTGCTAAATACCCTTTGGCTAGAAATTACTCTTTAGTTTAAATAATACATTTAAAAATATTTCTGCCTCAAAACTCACTGTTTGTCCAAGGACAAGTTAATCACAGGAAGTCTGACTTTCCCAAGTCAACTATCTTCAAATTTTTGAATTCTTGCCCTAAACATCTGTAGCCACAGCATGGCAGTCACCGTTAATACCCAAAGGCTTTCATCAAATTTCAAACTATGTGCTACAATGGAATCAACCTTTTCTGCCACACAAATAGTAAGAGCTTTCCTACCTGGATCCTTTCTGTACACCTTAGTCCCTTCTTGGTCTTTGTCAGAAACTTGGACATTGCTCTCTTTACAACTCAGTTATCAAAACACGGTGCTGCCTTGCTTTATCTTAATTCCCACTCTGATCTTCTCTGTTCCATTGGATAATTTTCACCACTTATTAACTTTCTACTAATATACGCTCTCTTTGTGTGAAGAATATGTCACATAATATTCTTATGATCCTGTTTTCACCTGTGCATTTGTGGGAATTTAACTAGATAAAACTGCATCTACCCATCCAGGTCAGCAAAAGGGCAACAGGAAGAGACCCTCTGATATTTATGTGCCAAATGTTAATCCCTGCTTTAACTACCCCATCATTGAAAACAGGCATGTCCATTTCTTACTTGATCAAAAGCAGAATCTAGTTGAGTAACCGTCTGTTTTCATAACCATTCACTGCTTGCTCTCTTTGTAGGTGGTCAGTTTGTGTGGCCTGATAATTTCTTCCCACTGCTTCCCAGATTTTAGCCACAAAGGGAGATATTCTTTAAAGATTTATTTGATTAAATCAGACTAAGCCTTCTGTCGGCTTCCAAGAACATGTTTATTTAAATTTATTATTATTTCAGCCTCCTCTCCAGATTGTACCCTTCTAACAGTTGTTTATATATCAGTTGTGATTTCAAATTATTTACTCATCACTGATAATTAGGGTCAGAACACAAGCAGAGATTGGAATTATTAATAAATTATCTGTAGGAGGAATTGGCATACTATAGCCTGAGGAGAAAATTCAGACCTCTGTCTGTTTTTTATATTCCCTGAAAGTTAGGAGTGGTTTGTACAGATGAATACTGGCCATTAACTTAATGTTAGGGAACACTAACTTTGAACCCTAATTAAGTAAAATATTATCTCCTAAGAAAGAATTTCTTTATTTTTATTAGTAGGTCTATATTAGGAAATATTTTTTAAAAGAAGCCACAGAAAAAGAAAATATTTTATTTTGTTTTTATGATTAGACTCTTAATTTCATCAATAATAATTGGCAGAGATGTATTTTCTCCTTGTTATATAATAATGTACATAATAACCTCAATTTTACCTTCTAGTACACAAAAATCTAAAATGTTTACTATCTGCCCTTTTACAAACTAAGTTTATGACTTCTTGGCCTATGCTAATTGTAGGCAACAAACCTAGAAACTGACCAGAGGTAAAGGAATATTGAACAGTTGCTATCTACCAAGCTGTTACTTACATGCATTCTGTGTCTTTATCGTCACAATAAATCTAAGAGGAAATACACTTTGTACCTATTTTAGAGAGGTATAAACTGAGGCTGCAGAAGGTTAAATAATTCATCATATATGTAAGATATTACAATACATGAAGGAAATTGGATTCAGAATCTGATGTATCTGTCTCCCAAGCCTCTGCTCTTTCTTCTTAAACAACCCATGCTTGGTGCTAAACACACTGTTGATCAAACTGTGCACACAGAGTTAAACAGCTACATTCATCCATTATTCTCCTCCACCAAATTCTGCTGTCACAAACAGTCCTCTCCTCATAACAGCATCTTACGATGTACAAGACGACAAGAAATAAATATGTGATCAATCAAGCACAAAGGGCTTCCCTCGGGGGGACTTTGATTTCTAAAAGTACACGGTAACCAGACGATACAACTCAGTTCCTGGCATGTTTTAACATAGCATGACTGCCCCTGAGCTGTGATTCCTTAAGGAACTAGGCTCTGTGAACTTCACGGAACCAGCTGGGCCACGGATAGTGCTTTGGGGAAGTATTTGGTATTGCTGAGCCACTTGGAGACAGGCAAGCTGAGGGTGCTCTAGGAACACGATGTGCTTGCTGGACAGCTTTTAAATATACAAAGCTCCAAGATACACTAGCCATTCTCTGCCAGGTGACTCGCTAAGTGACCCACAGCCTTAGCTCACTGCTAAATTCAGCCCATCAGGAGCTCAGGAAAGTTCCATCTGAGCTCATACACATACATTTATCTTGACCCAAAAAGCTTTCAGTACAAGACAAGAAATCTGCCTAGCAAATCTCCACCTGTTCCTTTGGGGTTTCTTGTTTCATCCTTTTCCCTAAAATATGATGGGTGACTCAGTTGTCCTGTGTCTTCCAAAAATAAGTGCCATTTCAAATAAAACTCTTGTTACTATTAACAGCATCAGTGAATGGGTGCCATAGCTTGCACTGATATTTCAAGAAGCTTGACAATGACTTTTAAATCTTTTTTTTCCTTTTTTTTAATGGCACAAGCAAGATGCTTATTATTAGAAAAATTAGAAAATATAAATAGCAAAAAGAGGGAAAAAACCACTAAGAGTCCCATTTAGGTCAGGATTACACTTTAGAACATATCCCTCCAAAATATTTTTCTGCACGTGTGTGTGTATGTATGTGTGTGTGTGTGTGCACGCGTGCGTGCACATGCATGTGTATATGGAGTGTGTAGACAAAACTGGGATCATCCTGACTTTACCATTTTATAACCTGCACCTACTCTTGAGCAGAACTTTGAAACAAAGTGAATAAGACAACTTGACATCACAAAGTCTATATAAAAAATGAGAAAAAGTCAAAGTTAAACCCCAGGATTCATGAAATTGGAATTAATTAAAAACCACAAGGTAAGAATTTTGGAATTACCACAAGCTAGCAAATACAATGTAATCCGAGGTATTTGTAGAAAAAGAGAAAGAAAGATGAAGGGAGAAAAGAAAATATTATTCATCATCTCACAGAATGCTTTAGGCATCTTTTGAGCAAAGGTGTAGCTAAAAGAAGAGGGAGAACTAAATTGAGAAATGTGTGAACTCCAATTGGACCTGACATCCAAACATCCTGTCATCAGCAAAGTGCACAAGTTTTGAATCAATATTGACAGAACAGATAATGATTTATTTTGAAAGATATATCCTAGAAAATTCAGATATAAAATGTTTTATAAGATTTTGTCTCTTCCCTACAGAACATTTGAAAAGTTACAGACACATCTGTGGTTATCACAACTGGGGGTGCTCTTGGCAACTAGTTGGTAAAGGTCACGGATGCTGCTGACTTCACAATATGCAGAACAACTTTCACAACTAAGAATTATCCAGCCCAAAAGTTAAGTTAGTGTTAAGGGTCAGAGGCTCTGCTCTGGAATAACTCAATTTAGGATAATTATATTGAAAATCATATTAGGAACATTTTTAATCCCAAATAAAAGAGCCAAGAACCATAACCCTAATGTCCATCTTCTGTCCTGTGATTAGCAGATGAAAATAGTCCCTCTTACCAAATTCTGGAAATAAGGTCTGAATACATCTAGTAAGGAGAAGATACATGATGAGGTACAAAGTACATGAAAACTTACTGTTAAATGTTCATCTCTGGAGAATGACTCTGGGCAAAAATGGAAACTGTGGAAGCGTCTATGACTCATGCTCATGTCAGCCCAGAGCAGAGGGGCTGTTCTTTCCTAGGGTGACCCCAGGGATGATACCGTGATTCAGGAGATATGAGTGTGGAGTAAGATGAGTTCAGTTATTAGGAAGCTCTGCTGGATGGGAAGAAAGACTCCATTTCCTTCCAGAAGACTCCAATCCCTTCTTATAAGGAACTGATGACAAGACCAGCCAGCCTCTGACTGAGAACTTTGACCATGCCACCTAGTCAGGCTTAACTTGGGGTATCCAATTGTTACCCTCCAATCACTCATACCATCTATAACAGGCAGGTCACACTTATGTTCCTAGTGAATTAGTGCTGAGAGCCACAGCCAAGTCGGAATGGCCCCTGGCATTTTGCCAACAGTATTGGTTGACAGGCGAGGCATTACTATCCGCCTCAGCCGCTACTTTGGAGTTCTCGTGGGGATTCCCGGGGATTCCAGGAGAGTTCCCATTGGTTGGGGAAGTGCAGGAGGAGGGATTTCCGGAGGAGATATTTCCAGTGGCTGGTTCCTGGACTAGCCGCGTGGGGTTCGGGATAGTTCCCGGGGAGCGTGTGTGGAGTGTGCTGGTGGAGTTCAGAAATAAAGTTTGTTCCTGCTTCAGTGGCTCGTGATTTGTGCCCAGCCAGACTGCGGCAAATTAGGGTAGGAATCTTCTCATCTCTAGATAAAGCTATATAGTAATAGTAGCTGTGCATTTAAGTACAAATGCAGAAGCTCAGTCCTTGTTTTGGCTGAATTTTCCCTTCCATAAAATTCATATGTTGAAGCCTTAATGGAATACCTCAGAATGTGACTGTATTTGGAGATAGAACCATTAAAAATGTAATTAAAGCAAAACAAGAGCTTATGGATGGGTCCTAATTCAATATGACTAGTGTCCTTATAAAAATAAATCAAAACACAGACATGTACAAAAAGAAGACCATATGAAGACACTGAGAAAACACAGCCACCTACATGCCAAGAAGAAATCAATCCCTCTGACCTGGCCTCTGACTTTTAGCATCCAGAATTATGAGCACATAAATTTTCATCATTTAAGCCATCCAGTCTGTGGTCCTTTGTTATAGCAGCCCAAGTTG